AAAGGTAACTTTTTAACAATGCAAATGATTTGATTTTAATTTCAAACATATATGTCATTTGGGAAACTACTAAGAACTGCAGTACATTGAACATCGATTCGGTCCTAACTGATAGTATATTAGTGGCACAGACCATCGAATCCATAGTAAATCAAGCTCAGGACCTTAAAGTTTCTCCAGAGGTTCTAAGTTTTAAGCTGTTGGGTCGGAATTCGATGATTCATGTTACTAAATTTATTCAACTTGTAAAGAGAAAATTTTTACTCAGGGAGTCAGCCAGATAGATGAGATATTAATATATCATTTACATGAAATAAGGCTAGGTACTTTGAATATTTTAAACAACTGGGATCCAACATAAGCACCTAATGTTATTGTACTTGCCTAAAGACTAGAAGGTCATGGATTTATCCTTGTAGAGGATCATTTGTAGACATCACTACAGAGTTCTAGACTAAAGTTGTACATATGTTCGGTGAGTTTCGATTTTCAATGACTTTCTAGTTGATTGTTGTTTGTGGTAAAATTTGCTTTAAGGGTAATCAAAATGTTTATATGATCATCTAAATAAAAAATGAATCTATTGAGTTTAATTGATGAACTAAACGAGGTGACGTTCTTACATAGGAACTTTTATTTCTGACGGTCAGCGTTCACGGCCACTGTATTTATCACAGCGACATTCGAATAAAAATATGTAAGTTGATAAGACTATTGTGTCATCAATTTTTGGTTTAAATTATATTCATTGCAAACGCAAGTGATATATAAGCTGTCTGAAACTGATAAGACTTGTTTGAACCTAGGGGTGCTTTCGATTATTTTCACTGGTCTTACACTAAGTTATAACATATGCGTGGATGCAAGTTAGTTGATTGAATTTTTATCTTGATAAACTCTAGGAACAACTGGAATTCCCAATATGAGCTACTTCAGAATAAATGGTTTACGATTAGTTTATAAATTACTTCTTCATAAGTTTAAAAAAAATTGAAAGTGTGTTGAAACCAAGCATTTGGTGAATTCAATCTATGTACATTAACTTAATTAATTGTGATATAATGTAAAAAGCGTAATTTTCATCTCAGAATGTTCAGTTCATTGCCAATCAGTGATTGATGGTATCTACGGTAACTTAATTAAGTATAAAATGAAGACAATTTAATTTGACTGAAGATTTAGTAATATGTAGAACATGCTGTACTTTTCGATTCGTGAAACAGCTGAATATATAACACTTGGCTCATAAAGTGATATCTATATCTATCCATGAATTTAGTTTCATCGCTCATTTGGTAGAGAATGGTTTAGGATTCCAAAAAAGATTTTAGAATAGATTTCATTACTGTGTAACAAAAGCGGTTTTGATATGAAATAACACATATTACTGACTAACATTAAAAATTAACCGTATGCTTAAACTAAAATAAATCATTTGTCTATTAAATTAAAATGCTATAGTTTATAGTTTCAAAACAAATTAAAGTTTTATGACTCCCAAAGGAAGTAATATGAAGAAATATAATGATAGAATTAAACGTAAACAGTATTTATGTGCATCCTGTGAGGATTGCCTCAATGTTGCCTTAAGCCACTGGCATTATAAGCAGAGACGGATGGTGGCTAGTACAGGAATCCAGGACGCGTGTATACAGCTAAAGAACTCAATCTAAGCAATTAAGCTGAATAGTTTTGGTTGAGATACATCTATCTGATTAATAATTATTACTAATTATTAAGTATACTTGATAACTACCCATATTGTATATTCATTTTTGCCAAATTGAAATAGTTAATAACTTCGAATAAATTGTATGACAACATTTAAATATATATACCCTATAAAACTGAACAATGGTGAGTAATCTTAGTACTATCACAATATTTTCTAGAACTATGAGACTTGTTAAATTAGTGTTTTAATTCGGTGATGACAATTAAAAAGAATATTTTTGATTGAGATCATGAATCGATTGATGTTAGGCCGTCATTGAAAACCTGGAAGCACTGGACGGCCGTCTCATCCTATTGCGGGACTCCTCAGCGGCGCGCATCCACGATCCCGCTCGCGGGATTCGATTTAATATGACATTCTCTAAAAAAAGTGTTGAGTGACGATAGATCTTCATGTTTTATACAAAAATTATTTCTATGTATAAATTTCTGAATGTGTATTTCATATCAAAACTGTATCTAAACTAAAATTCATAAAACTTGAGATTGATAATTAAATAAATATAATATATGTATTTGTATATGTTGAACAGTAAGTGGTAAAGTGAAAATTGGCACAAGTAACTGATAATTTATTGCATAATATATCCAAGGGTTATTCTTGACTAAAGTAGCCAAAGACAGGCAAACAAACAAATAAACAAGTACGAAATTAAGTTAGTAAACAAAGTGAAAATGAAGTTTATCATTTGTTTACATCTGACTATTATTTTAAAGAAAAAATGCTAGTGTGTGCATTTGTAATGAGACTTGATAAAAAAAGTATCTAAATAGGCCTATCAGGCAGAAAAAAAAGCAGACGGTAATATGAAAGACAAGAACTGAACTGAACTAGATTGTATAGAATGTGTTAACAAAGTATAGTTATCTTATCAAATATGTGTTAGTTGTGTTTTTGTTCAAATTCATTTTGTATTATACATACAAATAAAGAATTTGTAAATAGGTGTGTTGATTATGCAGAAACTGATAAATATTCATAAATTAATTAAAAAAAAACAAACAACTTGTGACCAGTGATGATGAAGGCATCGTATTTTACATCAATTTATGAACTGTAGACGAAATGAGACAGTTTTGTTCTCTTTGTTACTGTATCTCTCTAAATAGTCATGTGTTAATTACTTTTTAATTATCTTTTTACTGCAAACACTGGGTACATTGATATTTCAGAAATACTTAGGGAATTTATAACAATAGTTTTCACTACAATTAAACTTGCGTTGGACAAACAGAAGAGATGGAATTTGGTGAAAATTGTCAAGTTTTATGGATAATATTACGAAATGACTTTAATTGGACAACCAGTCAAAGCCAGAAATCACTGAATAGCTGCTTGTCCTAGTATCAGACTATTCACATCAGTGGTCACACAAGGGGTCGAATGCAGGACCTTCGTGTCTCGTGAAAAACAACTGAGACGGAGTTCATTGGTTTACATTTCTAACTTCAATCATTTCCTGATATTACACAATTATCTTCCTAAACCGTTGGTGTGCAACGACCTCACATCGACATGGTCAAACTTTACTAGTAAGGGCTTCTCAATAGAACCCTTAGGATTAATCTTGGAGATTAATCGCTAATAAACACAGGGTAATTAACAGCATATGAGAAGACTTATGGAAGTTATGGTTATCTAAATAGAGTCAGTTTGTGAAGTAAACTATAAGAATCCAAAAGTCATGGACAATTGTTTTCTTTTCAAAGTCTGAAACTTCTTAGCAATACTTCTCCAAAATATATCTCATGTGAATAATCCTTGAGTTTATTTGCATGGATTACTGTGAATTTCAGTGAAGTTTGTATAATAGATTTTTATTCTTTCAATTTATTCAGTATCAGTTGAAAATTAAACCACCTGATCATCTTTTTGATTTCAACAAAGTTATCCACCATACACTCTGTAACTCAGTTGAGATAGTGAACCTTCTTATAGATTTTTATTATTTTATTAAGCTCTGAAAAGTTCATTTATCACGTCAAAATAAATGGTTTTTAAATATAGTATAAGATGAGTTAGGATTCTAAGTTTTTGTCAAGGATGTGAATGAATTGATAGAACAATGATTTTAAAGTATTTCTAGTTTATAATGTAGAACAACTAAGTTTTATTACCGTTAACAAGTATTTATTCTAAGATAATATTTAATTAGCTCCATAAATAATTACTAATTACTAAAACAATTATCAAATATTATAGAGTTTAAATATATCGAATAGTGATTTATGCCTAGTTTGATAATCAATAACAAACACATAAACAAACAAATCATTTTATCTATTGATACTACCAACGACTGAAATATTCCAGAATAGAATACAATATCTTTTTTTAAAACCCTATATATTCTAGTTTAACCGATATATCTTAAGAAAAACACTTCACTATATTGATAAGTATAAGATCTATATTGGGGATCTGTAGAGATTGTAGTATTTTCAAAATTGGAATCACTATTGTAAACCTGGAAGCACTGGAAGTCTGCTTCATCCTAGTTTGGAACTTCTCAGCAGTGCGCATGCACAATCTAGCACGCGGGACTCAAACCTATGGCCTTTAGTCTAGCGCGCGTATTCTTAACCTCTAGACCACTAAAATGGAATCTAGTGGAGTTGATATCTAACTTCAATTAATCCATGATATTGTGTTTATATATTTAACGGTGGTTTAGCCTAGATCAACTCGTGATTTTAACTGTGAAAATACGAGTTCATAATGTTTCAGGTGGTACAACACTAGATCAACTGTTTTGTTATTAAACGGTTTCTGAGTACTATGATAAATACTTTAAGTGAAACGTGTATATTATAGATTGCTTCAGTTGATTTTATTAAGACGTATATTTTAATTTTGATCATAATATCTGATGAAATACATGATGTTACACACAACGTCTAACTATACCAACATTTAAAACTTTCAAATATTTCTGATACAATTGGATTTGATTTTAAACTTGATATATTCTGGAAAAAAAAATTCCAGAAAGATTATCTGACGGTCATGAGTGACAACATCTAAAATATACTGGTCGAGGAATTCTAAACTATGCAAACACAGTCTTTTAGTACTTCTTGATATTTTCTCACCAACTGTTCGGCTGATATCTGTTTATTATTAGAAAAATTACCTTGTTATATGTATACATAAATATATTCTCAAGTATTCGTTTGGTCACTATTTGTTTATAATGTATACATTGTATCTGTTAATTTTGAGTTATGAATTAGTAACAGTTTGACTTACTTATTTATTTTTACAGATATTTTGGCTTATTTTATTATTGGGGGCATTTGCAACAATATCTGACTCATTGTAAGCAACCGTTTTTATTCATTTAATGTTTTTAAGAAAATATTTAATTGGATACATTCTTAAAGTGTGCAGATTTCACATTTTGTAAAATCTCATATGTGTTGAATAAATTGAAGAATTTCATACTGAAACTTAAACAAGTCGCGTGGTATATAAGAACGGTGATTGTTTTTGTACCATCTAAATATCCTTTCATATCAGCCTAATATTCCATGAAACACCATCTAGGAACAACAATATTTTGGAAAACAAATGAAGCTACTTCTAAGTAGTATGTAACTAATAGAAACAATGTTTATTGATGAGAAGAACTGATTATTTAATTTTAAATACTTTGCAACTAAATTTCATTAGTGAAATCTACATATGATAGCTTGTACATACACTATATAAGACGAGATAAATATTTCCTATTTATCATTCATTTCATTATATATTAATAGGTTTTAATAGATCATATTTAGTATAGTCTTTCTTTTCTCTCATAAAAATACATTCTCATAGCTTTAGTACCTCTCTTATTGCTTTGGCTCGAAGTTTACGGATGAGTCAAAATTTAGCGGTAAGTTTAATGCTTTGATTCTTTGTATTTTAAGTAAGAAAAACTTTAAATGTTAATAGTTATAAACAACTAAATTGTGCAAATTTTTATATTCTAGTTTAAATATGTTCTATCTAGTTTAAATAATTATCTAAGCTGAATATGCTTAATTACTGTCATTGTATGTACTTGGCAAGCCAGAAGATAGAGGTGGATTCGATAAGAGTTATCACATGATTCATTTTCTAGAGTTTGATTGAACCTAATGAATAAGAATGAGGAGAACATACTGTAGGAATGAATTAGAATAAATTTTACTCAGTCATCAAGTTACAAAGAAGGTATGAAAGCAATTGTTGTAAAATAGAAATATTATTAGTCAATTATATAGCTCATAAATGTGTGCCCATTCATAGATCGATAGGATAACAATGAACTGATAACAGAAAACGATCTCTTACCAGCCCATCATATTTTATTTGGTTTGATTGCATTAGAGCCATTGACTAAGATTCATTCCGATAATTTCATATGAATGAAATATAAGCTTGAATAGCTGTTTGTTCACATAAATTGATTGTATAAGGAGAGATTAATAAGACTTTTAGGAAACGAATTCAGTTTCAATTCATTCAGTGCATTCATTGTATCTCGGTTATTGAATACAAGAACTATCTCGAAGCGATCTGTTCAGACAGTACATTGAAATGTTCATAGTTTAGAAAAATCAACTTCCATAAAACTGTAAAAAGTAGAAATTTCGATTTATATTCATAGGCATTTCTAGAACGTCATTTTTGTTTAATATATAGTTTGAAACATATTATAGAAATGTAGATCAAAAGTCGTATGTTTTAATATATGCAACTGGGATAAAAGTAACTCATTGTAGTTTTTTCAGTGGTGAATCAAATTTATTCATCGGAATGTGACCATCCCTCACATAGTACTTGAATTTCATAACGAGTGTAGATATTTCATTGGCGAATATTTAATAAAAAAAATTAGGTCTAAAATTATTGCTTCTTGATATTTGAGTCAAAAATGTGTTCTAGTGTATTCTATCGGTGATGGAATTCGATCAACAATAATGCCTAGTCAATAATGATGTTATTTACCAATTGGTTATCTCTTAGTATAAAAATCTCAGTTCTACAAATGATCAGAAGTACACTGAATAGTACAATTGTAGCGTTTTTAAATATGATACTGAATGACGTATGAGGATTAGCTTAATCAAGATTACAGATCTACCTTACTGATGCATGTTAAATAGCACGAAATCTTGGTCTAGGGTTTCCTGCTGACTACTTACAACCATTGAGTACTGTATGCATTGTAGAATAAAGAAAACGTTTGAAAAGAAATATAACTAATGGCTCTTAAGCACAAAGTTGAATCGATATTAATGTTTCATTATTTTGTACACAGTTTTAATCAGTAAAAATACAAATTGTTTATGGACATTTATATGAGCTTAAGCAAGTTAGAGGAATAAAGCATAGTATCAATCGACTATAAGATCATAAGATTTCCATCCATTCAAAAATTATGGGTTATGTTTAGATTTTAAAATAATTTTGATAACAAAGGAGAATATTGGAAGATCTGAATTTCTAAACAAGTTAATTATAGATGGTAGTATTCACACTAACTATTGACTTGGGTCTACAACGATCGCAACTTTCTTATTTGTGTTTTATTGACATTGAGATTAATGAAGGTAGTGAGTGACTGAAATTAATGAACTATTGGAATTCAAATAACTCTGTACATAATTAGTTTTATTTCAAGAACTGTCGAGAAAAATATAACAGCTTACCGGGATATGATTAAAAAATAATTATTTAGTAAGAATGTATTCATGAATACATATATATCCAAGAGATGAGTCTTAGATGTGATGAAATACGTTTCCTGAATTCCACTGTTAGTTATATTCAAAAATAAATTTTCTTTTCACTTTTAAGGTCATATAATTTATGCCAGTTGATTATGTCAGAAATGATCGATTTATGTATTACTCATTTTAGACTATTTGTGAAAAATTATTGAAATATACTTTTAAAACTAATTTCTTTAATGAAATTTTAGGGAGTTACACTTTTAGCATTTGGCAACGGGGCTCCAGATGTTTTTAGTGCAGTCACAGCCATTACAACTGGAGATCCTGACGCACCAGATGAAGGACTTGGATTAGGGTTTTTATTAGGTAGGTACATTTTCATAAATACATAAAACATAAATATTTATTACTGTTACAAGGATTACGTTTTATCGTAATTAGCTTTTTAAATTTGTCGAAAACATAGAATTTCATTTTACGTTATATGATGTTCGTCACGTTATGATTCTCATTTTGCGATTCAAATTACAAAACATCTACTATTAAACCTTTAAAATATTTCTATTGAAAACAATGAATAAAATAAATCTCTTGAAATGGTTTTGTTGTCATTTTATGTCCGGCTTTTTATCGTGTGATTTATCCACCAATCAAAATACGACTTATACAATCTTCGCACTATGCCAAGCCAATCACGTTCGAGCGGTATGAGCAGCCTAGCGTCCTTATTGGTCCTATTTCCGCCTAGCCCGTTCATTTCAGTCCAGAACACCGATACCAGCTTCCACTATGCGAATCATACATTTCAAACACAGTGTTTGTATATTAAACAAATGGACTGCAACGCACCATCAAATAGGAAATAATATTTGTACACAATAAAGCTCAAAAGTGACTGTGAACGTGGGAGGCAGTAGTCAATAAACTCAACATAGCTTAAGAACAGTAAATCGTACGATAATAAATTATAGATTGAAATCATGAGTCAGTTGAAGCTAGACCACCATTGAAAACCTGAGAACACTGGACGGCCGTTTCGTCCTAGTACGGGACTCCTCAGCAGTGCGCATCCACGGTCCCGCACCACGCGGGGCTCGAACCCAGGACTTACTGGCTTCGCGCGCGATCACTTAACCATTAGACCACTGAGCCGGCATCCAGCGGTGTTAATGTCTAACTTCAACCAATCCACGAAGTTGCGCCACCGTACACCATTGTCTTCAGTGAGTTCCTATCTCACAACAGACCTGGTTGAACTCCACTGGTAACGGCTTCTCACTAGAACTTCGGGAGTTTTTCCTGAAGTCAGTCACTAGTGAACAGTTGATTATTATCAGCTTCAACTGACTCATGATTTCAATCTGTAAAATTTCTAAAAATCTCCACAAAACCCATTCTGATAATAAATTATAGGTTAAAATAAAGCTTATAATAAGAGGAATATAAATTCCCATGATGTAATTATTGAATAGTTATACCATAAGAATGTATAGATAATATTAGTCAATTAATATGCCCCAGAAGTTACTCGTGATTTAATCTTCGCTCGGATATAACAGATTCCATTCAACATCTACAAATATTTTACTAAGTATTCAATACTATACACAAAAGTTTTCATATTCAACTAAAACTTAAAGATAAGTTAGAATGGTTGAAATGACAAATTAAATTTAGAGTTGAGTTGTTTATTAAAATAGTAACATCATCTGTCATATTTCCAGTAAATTTCATATTTGAATCCAAAAAGTGCTAATCAATTTATTCGAATGAATTATTGAAAATTCAAATCAAACAAACTATTGTATAATCAAAAATGAAAAATATTTGAGCAAACAATTGTTTTCAATAACTTCATCATCAGGCTCTACAGTTATAAGTTCATAGTTATAATATTTTACAATACTTTACTCCAAATTATCTTGACCTTTATTGAATGATCTTTCTAATTTGCAAATAATACAATTTCGAAGTATATATATATATATCGTAACAGATGCAAACGTTCACCATTTTTAATAGACAACATTGTCAAATTCATTAATACATGCCTTATTTTAGCCTTTGTGAAATATCACAATTATGGATTTATAACTGTAGAGCATGATGATGAAGTTATTGAAAACAGTTGTTTGGTCAGATATTCTTCATTTTTGAATATTCTATAGCGATTTTTAAGCTGTTGTATAATCTTTAATTTGAAATATAAATTAGTGAAGTTCAAAAGTTAATTTAAGTTTAATCGTATGAGTTGTAAATATGAATTGAATTTTTAATGTTTGTTTAATTTATCTAGTTTAATAAATTAGTTGATTGAAGTTTACATGGTTTGTTATGACCTTGATGTCTAGCCTTTCTACCACGCGAATTATCCGCCAATCAGAATACGACTTATACAAAACTTCACTCTATGCCAACCAATGACGTTCAACCGGTGTGGGCAGTCTAGCGCCTTGTTGGTCCGAGGTCCTTCTAGCCCGTTTGCTTGAGTTCAAAAAAACACAATGCCAGCTCCCGCAATATGAATTATGTATTTCAAACATACTCTGTTTATATACAAATCAGACAGACCACAACGTAGCATAAAATAGAAAATAACATGTGCACACAAATAAGCCAAAAAGTGGCTGTGAACGCGGGAGATAGTAATTAATAGACTGAACATAGCTTAAGAACCGTAAATCGTATAGTAATAAATTATAGGTCAAAATAAGGCTTATAATAAGGGAAATATAAATACACATAATGTAATTATTGAATAATTATACAATAAGAATATTTATAGAATACTAGTCTATTAACAGTCCTCGGAAGTTACCTGTAACTTAATTTTCAATGGGTTATAACATGGTTAATAAATGTTTAAAATTAATACTTAAGTTAATTACTTCATATATAGAAAGTCAACTTGATTTTCAAATGTATACAATATATGAATTTCAAAGAACTTCTAGTCACTGAAATAACATTAAAGTTTATATGAACGGTTATTATTAACCGTTCAATTATGCATATTCTTTTAGAATGGAGTAATTTCATGGTATTTAAAATTTTGTCAAAACATTCATTTGAATATCAAGGTGTCATACAACTTGATTCCTTGATAATAATAACATTTACAGGATAAAATGAATGAATTCTATATCGAAGTTTCATATTAGCTGCAAATGGTCTAAAGCTTCAAACAGTAATTTGATTTAGAAACAAATGCTGGGCATATTTTATTTAGTCAAGTTAAAGTTGGTACATGAACCGGAACTGAAGATCATAACAAGTGAAATTAAATTCAAAAAATGATATTAAGAATAGTAAAGACTGTTGCCCATTTATACTAGTAATGTAAAGTAGACATCGTCATCATCATCATAGATATTGATTTTATCTATTTATTTATTTTAATTTAGGATCTGGTCTTCTGGTAAATACGGTTACAGCTGGATTGGTTATCTTTTTAAAGCCATTTAAACTCAGTCGTAGACCATTTTTAAAAGATACCATATTTTATATGATTGCTGTCAGTTGGGCTGCATCAATTTTGATCCGTCGGAAAATTTATTTCGCAGATGCTATTGGTCAGTTGTTTATGTTTATTCACCAGTTTGAAATTTCTCTAGCTAAATAAGATGAATAAGTTTTTTAACAAATTAATGAAAATTATGTTTTAATTCTTTTGATTGATGGAAAAGAATAAAGATATTTTATCATCAATATACATATATGTAAAGCATGTCTGTAAATTGAAGATCTAGACAAATGTAATTTGTTCACAAATACTAATATCTATCATAAATAGTCTGAAATCTCCTAATGTTAATGTAAAAAATGTGGTACTGTATAACATAGTGATATGAAGTACATTAAATTCAATAGTTTGTCATTGATATCGCTAAAAATGAATAATGTATTCGATACATTTCCAATAGCATTGCTCATTAACGTCAGTTACGAGATTGTAGAATCGGTTTACTTTTATGTAAAAAATGGTTAAGGATAAAATGTAGTCTTATCAGATATTTCCTTGAATAAATCATTTAACATTCTAGTTTTTTCGATCAGATAATTATAAGGAACAAGTAGAAGCAAATAAGAGCGTTAATTCAAGACAATTTGGCTATGAAAATTAAAAATCATACATAGAATAAGGTTTTAAATATATAACAACAATTGAGAAATTGACTTCTAAATTTTTGGTTAATTACTCGATACTAAATGAATAAGTTAGTAGTATACAACGACTTCAATAACATATAAATCTTAAACTATATTATAAACATAATAACTAGTTTTCAATCATCTGTTTCTTATCTGATCGATAAATGACATAATAACTATTCTTTTTTTTATGTATCACAAACAGACAACAGGTGTAGTGGTATTGAAAACTAAGAACTATCAAACAACTGTTTTGTCCTATTCTAAGCAATCCATGTGGTGCATATTCAGAACCCCACTAGGGGTCAAATGTATGACTACAAAATCTACAGAGGAACATAATACCTTTTGTGCCACTGATTTAGAATAATTCATTTAATTGCTCTCATTCAATGTTAATGATTGTTATTATTTTCTTTAAAATTAACATTTCCGATCTTAATATTTAATTTGTTGAAAAATAATTAATTTTTCCCTGTAGGATTTTTAGTATTCTACTTAATCTATGTATTAACTACATGGGTTAGTAGTACTTATATGCATCGTCAAAGAAAAAATGGAACACATAGTATCATTCCATTGTTTTTACAAAATATTCTTTCAAAACCGTTAAACATGTTAAGTCGTAAACGACAAAATTTATTACAAACATGTCAACGCATTTGTCCTCAATTTATGTTTTTGAAAAGAATTCGAAAGAAAATCAATTTTTATCAGTTTAAGAAATCTAAATCATTGCAAAATCATGTAATTATTGAAGATGGAATGAAAAATCTGTATTCAAATGTTGTTTCCGAGAAAGTTTTACCTGAAAAAACAGTTTTGTCAGCAAATGCTAAATTAAATGGGAATGTTGAATTGAGAGGTAAGTGAAGAAAAAGCATTTTGTATTGTTGTAACAATGGAACTACGATATCATTTATTGAGATAAGTCAATAAGCGATTAAAATTTTTGTCATCAGATGGATTTTAAGTGAAAAGCTTTTTGTTTTAAATGATTTGTATCATGTCAAACAGATAAGGTTTTACATGGAAGTGACAGGGATTTATGACGTTATGCAAATTACTCATGAATATAACGTTTCTCTCAACAGTCAGGTACTGTAATGGTGACCGGATTTTGAGGAGTTAGTATGTTATATAGTTGATTACTGTACTATTAAAAAAAACATGATAACAAATAATCCATGTTTAGGATGATAGTTCAATCTTTTTTTTATGGTGGTTGCTTCATTTCTAACGCCAAAGTTATTTACATTGTCGAGTGCATATGTAGATAACACAGACAATTATTTTGTTTGTATAAAAAATATGTTGAGGGTGTTGAATTCTTTGAGCTTATTAATTTGAAAATAAAGCTGTCATTATATTTCTGGACATCATTGCTAACTCAAATTACAAAGAGAAAAAAAGGATGTCACTTAGTTGATTGGTGATGCATGACAGGAAACGTGAACTTAGATTACAAGCTATTTGGGCTTTGACGTTCAGGTGATTTGCAATATATATAGTGAGCACGGTGTCCAGTTTTATGGATGGATAACCACCGTTCAACTTGATAGCCAGAGTCCGATTAGTTTTATAGACCATACTAGAGGTAACTAGACTGTTTCTGGAAATGGATTCCATAGAGTATTGGATATCATGGAGAGATGTACATAAAACATACCAGATTCGGTAATTTTAAATTATCTTAGAGAATCATAACATAAAAATCTTATAAAGGCTTTCATGAAAGATGTTATGCAGTGGTTTGGGTTGTTTTTTTAATTGGCGTTCAGGAATGATTTTCACTACTTTTTTCAATGTTGATTGCTTCCGATAACCTCTAATTAAGCCACGTCTCAATAAGAAACACTTTTTTTCGAATATTCCACGATATCACTTGACTCATCCTTTAATGCTTTACATAATGCGACTTAAAAGTCATAAGTAAGTTTAAAAAGTTTTAGATTTGTAGTTGGACCATTGAACTGTTATTTTATGCCATAAAATAATATGTACAGGTGATCCAGCTATTGTAAAACGCTCAGATTTCGGCTAATGGGTCACAGGTTAGAACCCTGCCCCATATACTTCTGTCTAGAAAGCCGGATAGTACCACCGACATCTGTATAAGAAGGTGCAGCTTTAATTTGAGTCGATAAACCTGAAGTGGAAAGATAAATTATCTAACTAAATCTTTATAATAAATTTGTAAACTGTTTTATTTCACAAGTAAAAATAATACATTTGAGATATTCCGATGAACAGAAAAATTAGATTTCCTGACGTTTTGTGACTCAATGTAAGCCACTTCTTTAGAGAATAAATAATCAAATCAAAATTAACCCAAGTTTAGTTAGGTTACTTATTTCCTGAAGAAGTGATCTACACTGAGTCGCGAAACGTCAGTGTTAGGATAGTCGGAAAAAGAGACCAATAATTATCATGTTAAGTCCAATGGTGTCCTTGAACCTTAAATGTACATTTCTTATTGGTCGATGTTTATTTCACTTGGTAAATATTTTGTAAATGGTGTTTCCTATTTTATGGTACGATGTGGTATGCTTGGTTGGTATATAAACAAAGTATGTTTGAAATATAATGATTCATAACCCAGAGGCTGTGACTTGTGTTCTTGACTCAACTGGCTAGGACAGACAGCGAGGCAGGGCCAATCAGGGCACTAGGTCGTCCTTACATGTTTGCGTGTCCACTGTCACAGAGCCGATCAGTAAATACGCTGCGTATCTAAAACCTGCAGTCACACCCGTTACAACAGTCAGAAAATCTAGTTTTTCTATTCATTAAGATATTACAAATATATTATTTTTATTTATAACGATCTACGAGATGCTCAATTTATTTGGAATTATCAAGTCAAACCTTGGTAATGATGTGTGTTTTATTTCATTTCATTTATATTTAAGTTGGATAGTTGTATGTTCACTAATGACCAGTTTAATAATGCAATCATTAAGCATTTAGTTGGAGACTATAATCAATCGAATGAAGCAGGTCGGGTGTAAGATAATAATTTCTCTGTTATATTAAATATGGGTCACTCATTATAGTTAACCGATTGATATTAAAAATCTGAATCATTCAGATTTGTAATTAGTGACCTGAAACTAACGTACACATTGGAAGATTCGATAGACCTAAATTTTCTTCCTTATGAGGTTTTGGGTAATCACTCATGAAGAGCTCGTATTTTTAGGTTTTCATAGATTTACCACTTGACTTGTAGTCGTGATGAAAATCACATTGAAAGAATAAAAAAGTACATTTTTCTCATAAAACGCCATTAAATTTATTATACCAACAATGTTTTTTGTTGACTACAAAAAATGTAGATCGAGAAAAAGTTACAATTCCTAATATTCACGTCAGTGATAAACGAATAAATTGTCGACAAATAAATGCACCGAAAATTGAAATCACTTCACCACAAGATATCGACGATCTCAATTCACATTTGGATCATTCATCATATCTACATGGAGATGAAAGTCCACGTTTGTCATCTGATTCACACGATTTTAAAAATTATTTAAATCCACCTGATGGTGCTAAAAAACGAGCATCTTCATTAATTTCAACTGAACCAATGTCAAGCGATAGACGTTTATCAACTGAAAATTCTGGTTTAAGTCGTGGACGCTGTCGTAGAGCACAATCAGTATTTAGACGAAGACCTAGTTCTAGAATGAGTACAACAGGGTATGAGTTATCTTATATGGTGCGATGGATTATAGGTAAATTGATGTTAGTTTTTTTCCAATGATTTGTATGGAAAAAGGTTGTAATCCGTTAGTTTTTGTTTGTATGAAAAAGTGTAAACTACGTTTTCCCGTAATCTTGTACAACACCGAAATTTGAATTGTCCTTGGAATTGATATTTTCATAGGTTAATACTATATAGTAAGAAATAGGATGTCACCGATAAAATCTATTCACAAAACTAGTGATCTCGTTGAATGACTGTTTTGTATACATTTTGCCTAAAAGCATAAAGTGTTACGTTTAGATTAAACTTGTAACGATAGGCTGTCAGCAGAAAAACTAACTTTATAAGTTCATAACACGGAATGAATTCATTTAATATATATTTAGGGTTGTCGTCACTATGTACAAAATCTGGTGCAGGTAATATAACTGGATTATTTTTCGTCAGTACTTTTCTATCATCTGATTGATTTGTTACTCGCTTCTTTATTATTTTCTCTAGCACAATAACAAAAAATGTATTATTCAAAGAAACTTGTGAAAAACAATATACTTTTTATAACAGATAATAATTGTGAATGAAACAGAACTTGAGGACATCTAATCTGTATTTGGAACTCCTTAACAATTTACAGCCACTACTCTATATAGGCTCAAATCCATAGCCTTTAGGTAGCGAACTGAGCAAAATACAATCGGTTCGCATTTTTAGTTTAGATCTGTTGATAATATACGGCTGTACCCATTCAGCATCACTTGTGAGTGTTTGACCAACTTCTAGCATAACTTATGTCTTTGATAATAAATGCATATTAGAATATGAGAGAATTCTTTTCTATGATTCTTCAGAGAATGTTATTCTGTGATAGAAATTGTTTCTTAAATTGAATAAATTTTCACGAGCTTGACACATATACACACTTTAATACTTAGTCATATTTTATAAGAAATTTCACAACAAATCTCTCTTACATGTTCTTATCATCTCAGAAATAAAAAACTTAGGACATTAGTAACTACAAAAATATAACGTGTAGTTAGATCGTCAGATGTTACATAAAATCTTATACAGAGATTTATCTATAATAAGTTTAAATAAAAAGGCGCTAATATTTGTGAGAATTTACTAAAAAAATCCATTTAACAGTGAAGTAAAAAATGATGAAGTTCTAACTTTATAATTCTTTGAACTGATAGAAGTAATAATAGTTCAGAACTTTTTCTAATAAAACCACACTTCAAAAATAAACCTGAGTGGCTGTAATAATGGTCGTGGAAAATTTTACTACCCCTCTTATTTGTCAATCAGGATTCGATTGAATTTAATGGGTAATTTAAAACAGAAGTAGGTAGTTTTTTGATCATTACTGTACAGCCTCTATATTGTTGGTGTATGCATTCGTTAGAGAGTTAACAAAATTACGCTTGTTAACACTAATAAGGATTAATATAGAAGACGTTAGAGTGGAAATGTGTTGGTAATATTATTTTGCAGACGTCTGCCCCATATACTAAAAACCTATTAGTTCGATGAAAAGCATTTCTTACACATTTCTTCAATCATCATACTTTAGAACCATAAGTGTACTATGAATATGAAGTCATTATCTTGAAACTGATTTGTTCGTCGCCGAAGTATGGTTTTACCAATTTTTATGGAATTATTAAGACTAAATATAGCTATCTCGAAGACGATAACGAAGAAAACCTCGGTTGACGAATTATTGACGATCGCCTGACAGTTGCATAAAATTTGAGCCACGTTTTGTTTCCTAAATAGCTGTACGTATATTCATGACATATTTTTATCAAGAAAACTTGTTCAAAATTCAATGGTATGTGGAATATCTAATTTTCTAGCTGAACATCTTTTTAAATTTCTTTTCAATTGTTTAATTTTTTTTGTAGCAAATCGGGAATTGAAGGAGAAATCTATGGGTTCACGTAAGTTGTATTACTAAGATTTTTATTTATCAACATGTAATATGTTTTTTATTGATAAAGTATATATAGTCCATCAAGGATATTAACCTAATGATGAATTAACGGATACTAAATAACATCAAAATCGTAAGATGTTTATTTGGAAGTACACAACACTATTGAACTTGAGCAACGACAAGTAATAAATACAAATTACTTGATATTTGTTGGGTGGTTGAAGGTGGTCTTCAAGAAACATTGGATCTAAGTTTTATGCTAGTAGGAACCCGTCTACAAGGCGTACCTGTAAGGGAAGGGGAACTGATACTAGCTGTAAGATAGTACATGGATCACCCAGTCTCACAATTTGAAACATTACTATTGAGCTACTCAAGCAGCTACTAGCCTCCTCTGCGACTTAGGTATTTACGGTTGATTAGTCTGTGAGTTGTGACTAGTATCATGTTTGTCTATTCCTTTTGGTACTTATCGAATTCTGTTGATCAGGTTGCCGTGCAGCACACCTTACTGACGAGTGTAAATGGTGCTAAACTTAGTCTCACAGTCTCCTATCGACTATCTGTAACTATCTAACATCTCAACATAGAGCACGCGATTTCGAATTATCCAACGTAATGGTCAGATTGTAACTTGATCGATCGAGTTCAATCGGCATTAAAAGTACTAGACAAGCATGACATTAGTCACTACTTAGTGATCAATTAATTGTACTTCGTATTATCCGGAATTTTGGAATCGTTCCTTGCGGAAACGTTTTAGAATTGACAAATGATTAAAAATAAACAAGATTTCAAAAAATAGCCTAAGCAGATAACTTAAATGATTTAAAGGGTGAGAGAGATAACCATAGGTACTTAAAATTAAACTGATATACTAGAATATTAACGTAAAAGCTATCTGATCTGTTCGTTGAATCAGGGTGAAAAAGTTATCACAGAACGTGAAATTGGCTAAAATTAGGCAAAACACAGAAAGGTGAATAAAGAATAAGTGAATTATACAAATAATCAACAAATGTAACAATAAAGTATTTGAAAGAATTTAAGAATAACGGTGATAGATCGCACAATGACAACAGTAATGGGCAAACATATTTAATTACGGGTTAATTTAATATAATCTTTCAGAAAAAACAGTATTACTTACCATGTTTACAACAGTTACTACATATTTCATGCGGCTGATTACATTATGAATTCTCTTACTTATTCTATCTATTTTTACATAAATTAGAATTGTATTATCATTGGAAGTATTTGTGAATTATGATAAAACTGAAATGAATAGTGACTTATATTTCTGTTAGTTTAAAGAACCCGAATTAGATACAGTACACTGTCTATTTGACAAAAAATGACTACAAATAGACTAATTAGTAATTCTTCTTATCAGAAAGGGTTTTGCGGAGATTGTAATAATTTCAATAGTCGAGATGATGAGCCAATTGAAGCTAGACCACCATGGAAAACCCGGAAGCACTGGACAGCCGTTTCACCTTATTGTGGGACTTCTCAGCAGTGCGCTTCCAACAACCCCGCCTCGAGGGATTCGGACCCAGGACCTACCAGTCTCGCACTCGGCGCTTAACCAACTAGACCACTGAGCCGTCATCCAACGGTTTATTACTTTATTTATCCTTAATGAATATGCTTCAATACAGAAAGAAAGAGTGTATTCTTAAGCACTAAACTAACACAGAGGAATTTAAGCGAAAGCAAAGAGTTTCAGAAATCAGTTGAAGAATTCAGCATGATACAAAATTTTGTGATCTATCTGTAATCATACGTGTCTAAGGTATAGTATCATTTTCAAAGAATATGTTAGGTCTGACTATTTCAGTCCTCAGATTAATTATCAATATTAATTTAACGGATTATAAACAAATAAATTTTCTCTGTATTCTAGGAGATGGAGAAACACGGAGATCACAGAAATCTTCACAATATGATCCTGAAGAACAAACTAATGAGAATGTAACTTCTGGGAATAGTTAGTTAATTATATGAATATATATAGACTTATTATTGGAACCTTTTTACTGTTCATTTAACTGGTTCATGATAAATAAATACACCTCTATTCCATATTTTGTATAATACAATAATATTGAAAACAGCCTAAAATTATAGATCCTCTGGTAATATATGTTAGTGAATATGTCATTCTAAAAGGATTTCAACCGAAAATAAATAGTTATTCAATGCTACCTAGGTTTGACAAGTCTTCAGTAGATGTCAGTTTGTGTGGAAAGTTATCTTGAAAATTGAATGAATTACCATAACCCAAGTAAATAAATTCATGAACTACTTGTGAGTACTATATATAGCATTATAAAAATATTGAACAAATATGTGTTTCAAGTTTTATTTAGTCTGCAGTCAATAAATAAATCTTACAGATTGAAATCATGAGTCAATTGAAGCTAGACCACTATGGAAAACCTGGAAGCACTGGACGGCGCGAGCACTTAACCATTAGTCCACTGAGCCGGCATCCAACGGTGTTAATGTCTAACTTCAACCAATCCACTAGCATGGGACTCCTCAGCAGTGCGCATCCACGATCCCGCCCCGCGCGAGATTCGAACGCGTGACCTATCAGTCATTTCCTGGAGTTCTAGTGAGAAGCCGTTACCAGTGGGGTTTAACCAGGTCTGTTGTGAGATATCCACTCACTGAAGACAGTGGTTTACGGTGGCGCAACTTCGTGGATTGGTTGAAGTTATACATTAACACCACTGGATGCCGACTCAGTGGTCTAGTTGGTTAAGCGCCTGGCGAGAAGCTGATAGGTCATGGGTTGGAATGCGCACTGCTGAAGAGTCTCATACTAGGACGAAACGGCCGTGCAGTGCTTCCAGGTTTTCCATGGTGGTCTAGTTTCAATTGACTCATGATTTCAATCTGTGAAATTTCTAAAACCTCCGCAAACCCCTTCTGAAAATAAATCTTACTTTGATTAAACTGAATTTTTTATTTATTAGGTTAGTTTTTTAAGGAACAGTATTTTTAGTACTTTGAACAGATTTAAAATGTAGCTCTCCATTTCATAGATTTTGTTCATGAGTTTGAAATTTGAAATAAATAGATAATCTATTAAATATTAGAAATCTTTAGATGATTTATGTCATGTCTTAACAAAAAAACCTGATTAATGTTGGTTTTTGTGACTGAGGAATAAATTTCTACTTGTTCAACGGAATAAGATCTATATAGCTCGATGCAAAGAAGAATCCGCTGCTGTAGATGAAGATTTATTGATAGACCAAAACACGGATTCAAACACTGAACCACGACTGAACAATACGATATCAAAATGTACAATGAAATATATATCGTTTTAAATATCTGTTTAATAGGTAAATTTGGATATATTGAACTGATAATAGTTAACTGTAATTAATCAATAGTTCAATGTATGTATATAATCTGTATCAGTAGATTAACTGTTTTAACTAACCAATATAACAAAATTACTGTATTATATATTTTGATTCATTTCCCTTTTGTTTGAGTGCACATGAATAAGCTTATTTGTAGAGAAGGGGCAACTTGAAAATTAATTATCCTTCTTCATCCTTTCTCTGTTGTGTGAGATAAAATGGCCCTTGATCATGTTAACTTGAGCCTCTGACATTTTTTGAATTTCACGTTGATAAAATGAATTAATCAACAGGAGACTGATCTAGGTTTTTTGTAGTTGTGCAAAAGTAACATATTTAAGGTCTTCTTAATAACTTACTGTTGTCTGTTCCAATTCTTTCCTACTCTTTTTTAAAGATTTATTTGGCCGGAAAGGATCACACCACACACTGAATCTAACAAATACACCAAATTATATGCAATCACCGACATTATCTGCCTATTCACTTGAAGAGGATACACCGCCTAAATCATCTCTTTCACTAAGAAAGATAAAATTAAATGTTCTACCATCTGACTTGGAAACAGGTAAACAACAAATGACAGGTGTTGGTGAAAATGACATCAAATTTTCGAGTACCCTACCAAAGTTCAATCATCAAGAAGGAAGTCTCAAAGAACATGATGATGAAAAAGAGACGACAGTCAGAAGAGAAGGAGTAGGAGAGAACGATGAAGAAGATGAAGAGATAGAGGAAGAGGAAATATCTTGGTTAGAAAAATGGGCTATGAAAGGCGTATGGCATCATTTTGCTTATTATATGATACCAATTGATGTAGAATCATGGCCTCAACAATCAGTATTTAGTCGATTTTTACAGATTTTACAAACACCAATTTTTCTAGTCTTTCGATTAACAATACCAACTGTAATAGAAGAACTGGCGGACGATACAGAAACAAAGGGTTCTGCTCAACAATCAAATATTGAACAGAAAATTAATGAACCATCTCGAGAAATAAGTACCATTCCGGAAGAGAATAAATTTACTTTGAATTCCAGCCAACCTGAATTGAATCATAGTAATGACTTTGTTCCAGAGAATACTGATCATGAACCTGTTGCAGTGAATTTAGAGTTAATGCATGGATGGTGTAAACCATTAAATGTTTTTCAATGTCTATTGGTACCAGCTTTATGGCCTATGCTATTGACAGGTAAAGTACAATAAGGAATCTAGAGCTTTGTCATAATAATAACTAACTGAAATAAGCAGATAATCTAAAATGATGCTAGCAGATTTCAAATTTGATAAAGAATGGATAAACTTAGAGTTAGTTACTTTACGCCTAATTTATTACACCACCCTGATCAATTTAACTCAACGATTATGGTTTTGTCAATTTTTCTGTCATTCAGTAAACTTTGCTTCCAGTAAATAGTTTTTGGTCAGTACATCTGAATCCTCTTATCGCTTAATAATAAATATTTCTTTTGTTTTTATCTTAACTGATGGTAAACTACATCTTAGCTGTCCATGAACGTTGAACAGTGTGACTTTCTTCTCATGAGTAGTAGAATTGGTAAATACGAAATGCCTTTGTTACTCTTTATAATTTGTCACCACTAACGTCTAGAATACATCACTTATAGTACTGTAAATAACCCGTACTTTGGTTAGCTTAGCATGATTGTTAAAATTGACTACATAGTTCATAGAGTGACTGAGCTTCACGATTGCTTCATTGATCTTTTTGTTTCGACACATCTTCATGATACTAGTGAGTATAGTCAACAAACTGTCTGAATGCCAGCTGTCCTGAGAGTGACTGTCATAATGCCTTAATGACTGTATTAGAAGAGTAGACAAACGAAACGAGACCGTGAATTCAGTTCGATTTGTTTTAAAATTATTTATTTCAATCAATAGATGGATAATATACATGTGAATGTTTGATTTTTATAAGCCTATCTATCCAACTAAATTATTTTATTTAAACATATGTGTGTGGTCTGTTAACTATGATTTTCTCAGGTTTCTAATTTCATTTTTTTATTCCTTTTCTCACTGTAATCCACTTATTCTTTTACTTTTTTCAAAAAATATATCCAGCTAATGGCAAATGCATTGGATTATCACCTATTGGAAAAACTCCAATACCAATATTTTGTCCATTTCTAGCTAGTGGATTCATTATTGCACTGACGGTGTTTTTCACCTCAAAATGGAATCAACCACCTCGGCATTATCATAGACCATTTTTTGCTACACTTGGCTTTATTACATCAATTATATGGATATATGCATTAGCTCATGAATTAGTGAATTCATTAGAAACTTTAGGTATAGTATGGGAAATCAGTGAAGCTATTCTGGGACTTAGTGTTATGGCACTGGCTAGTTCAATTGGAGGTCAGTTGTATAATTTCATTTTAAGTTGATGGATATAATGAGAAAAGTAGTTTTTTTCTTGTATGAGATTAAATGATACCTTCCGGTGATGTTGGTGTGTTTAATGATTTTGAATGTCCATAAAATCCTGATGGGTCATTTTGATTGATAAATTCGAGAAAATTTATCACAGATAATCACCTTTTACAAATGATAGGCTTTCAGCCGATTTGATATGAAGCTCATCAAAGTTGTATTTAAGAATGATTTAAATCAGGTATGTTAAGCATTCAAACCACTTAATTGTGATTAGTACTTTTGAAGGTCTGAAAGTGTTTATAATCAGCTTTAGGATGTACAAGTCGAAGCTCTGGATTTTAAAAACAGATATTTCTCTTTTGTTAGTGAATGCTATCAATTATTTAGAATTTTCTTTAACTATAAGATTATGTTAGCGTCCTTGACATATTGTTGTCTAAACTTTTGATAAGGTAACATAAACAGCATAGAATTTTTCATTCATCCTCGAATTACTTATTAGATTCGTATCTTGAACAGGAATCTTGAAAACAGTATGATTTACTCAATTCAAATCGTTCTGTTAATAATAGTTTTTAGTTTATAGTTGTCATGTAGCCATATTTGAGGTTTCTATTGTCACCAGTCTCTTGTTACAAGAAAACTACGTATGCTCGCCGTAAGCATGAAAATCTCTGAAAGACATTCTTCGCAATAAAGAACTTTTGTGTACAGATTAATCTATGTCAAAAGAAAATATACATGGAAGAATGTTTGTTTTCAAAAATAAACGTGAAATAGATATAGAAGTATTTCCTAAACGATTAAAAATGTCTTGAGGAGTTCCAAGAGTAAAGCTAAATCTTTTGCAGTTGTATGATATTAGCAGTGCTCCATATTAAACAGATTCAGACCAGGAATTAATGTTTGTTCATAACTACTCCCTGGTTTACCACTGCTTTTCAATTAATGGGGGTTTCTCTTGAAAAGTGATAAATAAGCTTTCAAAGTCCTAATAATGTTATTATGAATAAACTATATGAAAGTTGTTATGAGCTGAAACTGATAACTGAAAATGTGTAGTCGTTATATCCAACGAATACGAAAAGAATGGTAACTGCCAGGATTCGTTTATGGACTATTATTGTACATATTCCTATTGTGTAATCACTAAGTAACTAGATTATATATATTAACCATGCGCTTCCATTTGATTCACTAACTGTTATATGATTTACCACTCTTAATCTGTTGTCAGTCTATCATTACTCACAGCCACTTTTTGGCTTGGTGATGTATAATTGATATTTTTCATTTTATGGAGTAATGTGGTTTGGTGTATCTGGATGTAAACTACCAATGTCTAGAATATAATATTCGTATATTGGATGCTAATTATTATGTTCTGAACTCGATAGGCGGGGTGAGAAGCTACTGTATCGAAGATCAATAAGGGCTTAGCAGTGAATCAAGACTACTAGTGCTGGCAGGCATGTTACTGGTTGGCTCAGAGACTAAGTCACAGAAATCGATATTCCGAGTAATAGTTTTGTCGTGTGCTATTAGTCAGCGGTCATAATTCATAACGGTAGTGAAAACTCTTGTTAACTCGACTGTCATGAGATAGATGAGCTATATTATGTTGTAGTTTGGTAATACTAAATTTTGTGCTTATTTACACGTTACTCAAGATTTTTAAACTATTATTTTATTTTTATTATTGGAATAATGACAAATTAGACATAATGTCGAATTGTTTGTTGGCTCGAAATGGCTACCCTAGAATCGCATATGCAGCTTGTCTAGGTTCACCATTGTTTAATTTGCTACTTGGTGCTGGTCTTTCATATACTGTCAAAATTAGTAGAGCAGAAGTTGGATATGCATATGTAAGTAGTAGTAATATGGTAAATACTTTATATCGATAAATGATTAAGATAAGTGTTTATTTTTGTCAAAGTGGTAGTATATATTTTTTAAAAAGTAGTCAAATTATATAATACCCTAGTTTATAGTTTTTATAAAAAAAATCTCAATTAGAAAATGGAATCAGATAGTTAAATTGAGTATTATGACAGAAAAATAGATTTCACTTGATGTTAGTCGTTTACAAGCAGCAGAAAGACATCTTGTACTTCGTGATATTTTTAAATGAGTGGATTATTCCTAGATGTAATAGCTGACCTACAGCGTTTCTCATGTCTTTAATGTAGTGAAGTGATTGTATGGGTTTGCATTTTCCAGTGGTTAATATTCAGTCTATATTGATTTACAGGTTAACTGAAAGAATGCATCTATTTTACGTATTTTTTCAGGTTGGTATTTGAATAATGACCATCATCTAACTCCACTTTACCGCTTGTGTTCTTTTCCGAGGCCTGTCGGTTAAATATACATGGATTCTCGGACTACTATCAAACCTGTGACTTGAATTTAGTAGCTATGGTTTCAAGTAACTGAGCATTACCGTGAATACCAATTAAATAAAAGTACAAACTCTTCTGGTTAATAATATCATAACTTTTGAGCAAGGTGGTAACCACTATTTCTCAGTGACCTAGCGGTTAGCATTTCGTCTCTTAAAACGATAGGGATAGGGCTTCGGTATAACTGACATACGACCTATCCAGCTGATACGTATCAAATAGGATAAGGTGTAGGTCTTGCATTCCACAACTAAATACTATCCAAGTTATAATTGAATACAATGAGAAAGAGATGAATTTTGTGACTTTTCAGGCAATGTACACACATATTGGAACTAATTGCAGAGTTATATGTTAAATGAACTGAAAAAATAAACCAATATTAATTTTCAAAGTTTTGACGGGATTTACAGTCAGTATATTTTGTATTACATTAATCAAATATTTCAAAAATTAGAAATAATAAATATTTTGAAAAATCTATCAATATATGAAAATAGTTTTTATCATGAACAAGTCTTACATAAAATTCAAACCAAAATATTTAACAAAATTGACCAAAGTAACCACTTAACCTGATTTTATGTACCGTAGTGGATAAGGCAGTATGGAGTTCATTAATAATTCGAAACAACTATACAATTCCTACTGATTTTTATTCATCCTCTGGATGATATTCATCCTGATAAAGTTTATCCTTACAAATAACCTTGTAGAATTAAATAACTTCCAATAAGTCTATAGATGATTTAAATTAGTTACGCTACCTTGAAAATAAATACTATCCTGTCATATATCTTGGTACAATAAACTTTCATATTTAAAATAAATTCCAAATGGATGTATTAATTGAGAAACTTAATAATTTTTGCACTTTTTTTCTTTTACCTTCTTGTATGGGTATAAACGAAAACAATTAACTTTGGAAACATTTAAAAAAAATGTTGTCAAATATGCTACAGTTGTCATTTACACTTACTCAAGCTTTACTATTCTCCTCTCTGCTAGCGGTACTCACATTAAATATATTAACAGCTTTAATAGGAAGATTTCAATTTTATCGTTATTATGGTATTGTTTTAATAATTATCTATTTAGTATTTGTAACAATCGCAATTCTCATTGAAGTTGATGTAATTGTCTCACCAGTTAATTGGAATTTGGCTACTGGAACAGAATAAATATTATTATTATTATTCCTATTATTAATACTAACAATAAAATAATTCTAATAAGTATCACTGTTAAAGATACAAAAATCACGATATATATATAAGTCAATGTTGATTTACTTATACTGAAATTTAATGACCATTACAATGAATTAATTAATGTATTAGCTAACTATAAATACGGTTTATTTTTCTTCTATATTACTATCTTTCCATTTCTTTTCTACTCTATGTTTTGTGATATTTTGTAATGTTTAAGATCTTTTCACTTATTTCATAATCGTTTCTAAATTAGCCAAAATATAAAAAAATTATGAAAGATTAGAGAAAAATAATTGAAGAGAGTAGAAAGATAGTGTGAAACAAGTGAAGAGTTTACTGTTAATTTGTTTATTCGCATCTTCTTCATTGTGGATATTTTCAATAGAAATTTAAAAGAGATGTTATTTTAAATGCTTCAGGATATTTATTGATTATTGATTTTTGCTGGGACTCGAGAGAATTTATAAGAGATCTAGGAAACGAACAACTACAGTTGCATTATAGTCTACCAGTCACTTCTTCAAACACTTAAATACAAATAGCTATTTTGTATACATAATAAATTAATCAGTTTTTGAATAGAAAAGAAGAAAATTTTATAGCAAATTCAAAATGAATAATGTACAATGTTTTTCTTGTTTTCTTTGTATTCATTATTATTATTATTAATGGAATGTACAAAACATTTGAAAAATGTATTTTTACGATGTTATTTCGGTGTTTGGTCTTTATATGAAATTCTAAAACCGGATATCCAGTTTTGATTTGAACGAGCTGAATTCTTAGGTCAACCTTGAAGTTCGAATTCATGTTATTTCTCAGATGGATAAGTGACTTACACTGTAGGTGTTTAAACAGTTTAAGTTTCAGTGAGAACAGCAATCTAATCTGTTTCAAATAAAATGAGCCATAAATCCTGAATTTCATAACCGTTGATCACTAAGTAAACTTAGATTCAGTGTATACAGTCATTTTATTGTGCTAAAAATATGCTTTCTTTTTCGGAATAGATTATTTAAAGAAGTTTCCCAAATTATTTAATGACAGAATTAAATAATATACTTCTTTCCTGACTTATTAAGCGTCAAGATTCATGGGGACAAATATCATTCATTCACCAATAAATTCAAGTCAACGAAAATATAAGGAATCTACTTAAATATTCGCGAATTATTCAAATATCAAGCTTATTATTATCCTGCAAAACTATTCGATACAACAGAGAATCAAAAATGAGTCACACCTTTAAAGTGATGGCAAAAACAATTTAACAAAATATTACTTGTAGCGTTCATTATTTGTGATGGTTGTGTAAGTAGGATGCATCATACTCTTTAGTATCATCTTTGTGATACTAATCGTTTGTATGGGTATCACAATACTGGTTGACCATCAAAGCTGATATATGTCGTATTTGAAATGGATAGCTATTCGGGCTTTGGGGTGTGGATCTAATACATTTTCAACGTATAAATACTTTTTAGTCTTTATCATTATTTTAAATATTTACATCGCCTGTTTTCATAAGGTTGTTTCCCGTTTCGAGAGCAACTTTATTGATTAAGGTACGTCAGACGGGGTTAATAATATTGATAATTATTACTTCTGGTAGTTTTGTAGCTGGAGTGAAACATCTAAATAGAATAGATCCTTTTTGTTTTCTAAATCTTGTAGTTCTTGTTTTGACGAACACCATAAATAACTTAAGATACACTTGTAGCAACAAATCAACAAAATAAGTAACGTCATTTATAAAACTGCAATAGTAAAGATGCTTACGTCTAAGTAGGATTATAGCATGAGATAATTAAATGAAGAAATGAACGTTAATCGAATGTTTACCAGTTGATCTGGAATAACTATGTTACGATATGATAATCAACTTATAATTGGTCAGAAATATGGAATAAATCAATCACCCTGTCAAGATAATAAAAGGCCTTACTTGAATGAATGTTAGAAGATAGGGAAAATTATCTGTTGATGTAGCGAATAAAAATCTACAGAGATTAATGTATAATAATTTGTTTGTTACAAGGAAGGCAATTAAAGCTGATGGACATGGTTGGTAACAGAGTTAAAACCGCCTAAACTCAGCTTACCTTATTCTAACACGGTAATAAAACGATTTGGATAAGCATAGTAGAAAAAGTATTTTAATGAAACATCATTTTCTGTTAGCTGATTACATTTATTTGAAATCTAAGCCGAAGTGTTGGTAATTTCAGTGAAGGATTCTGCGAATAGTTGTAACTTTTAAACAAATTAGTATTAGTCGATTAAGTTCCAGAGTCATTAATTTAAGTAAAATCGTTAAATCAGATAAACAGCTTTCTTATAAATACGGTATCTTATTATGTACACGTGCATAATCGGGAAATCTTGAGAGAGGTGGGTGTCGTGAATCTCTTTGTGTGAGAGCATGTAATGAGAATTGTTCAGCAGTATTTGACATTAGTACAAGATGTAGAGTTTTGTAAACGCAGAGAATATCATTTTCATTGGTATGACATAACAACTACTATGCTTACAAGCAGTCAAGAATGTTTGTTACTACTAATACTATTCCTTTGGACTATTACTAGCCCATCTCTGCTCACCCCAACTCTTATTACTTACATCTATTTGTTACTGTTAGACATTTGCCCATTGACATTATTTGCGTAAACTATTCCTTCGCTAATTCTGGCTGTTATCTTCTCTTTATTCCTCTACATTTTAAATTATGATTCTGCATATTGCGACAAACCAAAGTCTAGCCCGAAGATGTGATAACTGTCATTCCTAGCACCTCTGCTGCCCAATAATAAACGTATTCGTTTAAACGCAGGACATATTAACCACCAATTAACTGATAAAGCGCTAGAATAGTTGCAGGCAAGTGGCTAGACTCATCACACTGAACAAAACCAGAAACTTGCGATTTTCATGGAACTGCATCGTAGCCTTAATAATTTACCGCAAAGAAATCAATCGGTTTACACACGTTCACCACAAAAATATCTGAAAGGGTTATGATATTGCGTATTCATTATCTTTGTCATAAGCTTGTATAAACCGACTGATTTCTTTGAGTTCACTTCTTGTTGTTTTGGTACGGTTAAAAGTATGTGATAATGTCAAATGGGTGGCAGTTTAGCCACTCGATTGCAATAATCCTATTTAGTTTAGTAGCTATTTGTGGATTTGGATATCTTATAGTTTGAGGGAGTGCGTGTGTCTCAGGCTAGTAGGGATTCTAGATGTCAGAAGCTACCACATCACTAGGCAGGAGGTTGGCTTGTTGCAATGGGAAAATAATGAGGTGATAAATTAATAAATGAGTTACTTGATTAGTAATGTCTAAGAAGACGCAACCGAAAGAATAATACGGAAAACGCGGATTATAATAAGAGATATAGAAAGCAGTTATTAATATGCGGTAGTTGTAACCGTGATAACCTATAAGATATGCATCAGACAAAGCTAGGAAAAGAGGGAGATGGTAATCCATGGGTGGGTACGTGTTTGTCAATTATCCTCTATCCACTGACGGGGCTATGGTTAATTTTACTGGATGACAATTACAATTGGAGACAACTCTTAATGAGGAAAACTGAGGGCGTACCTGGCTGTTTGCTCTTTGATTTACAACCTTCCGTGGATTACCTCGAGGAGCATGGTGATGATGTTCTCGTAATATGTTCGTGTTGGGTTGGCTTGGCGTACTTAATACATTGTATGCTATTATTAGATCACCTCTTATTCTCCTACAGCTCAACGACAGTAATATCAGGTGTTGGAGTTTATCCTCGTAAGCTTTGCGTTTTAGCCCAATTATCCACCTGATTGTTCGTCTCTGTACTTGGTCTAAGAGATTTATATCTCCTTTAGAGAGAGGGGGTGCAACGGCACCGTTTGAGTGGTCCATTATCTGGCTCCAGCTGGGTCGTATGATAATGCTATCGATGGGCTCATCAATTTTATGGCTCGTACCTGACTCCATTGTGATAGAATGAGCGATTATTATTGAAATATACAGGCTCCCGACCTTCGTATATTTCCATCGACTTAAGTTGCGCTAGTGAATAACAGAATAAATTTAGTCAAATATGAAAATGAATTTTAAAAACATATATTTCAAACAAACGTTAATCCATAAAGACGATCAGAGAAACGAAGCGAAAAAGAAAGAGCTAAGCGAAACGGATCGGAGAAGGCATGTGAGCTAACTTCATTTGGTCAGGCGTGAATCGATATTTATGGTCAACTAAAAGTAAGCTACAGACACATGATGATTTGGGTAAGTAATTAACACACATACGACTTTAAGCGAATAAGTGAAAAAGTCCAAATATGGCTCGGGAAGAAATGAGTCCGTCCAGGAGTTATAATAGCCTATTTGGGCTTGACATAATACCAGCCACTACACCATGAACTCCAAGTTAGGGCCCTGCGTGCGTTTTAGGGTTGGTTGGATATTCCATAGCGTCAGTGGACTACAAATTCTTCCAGAGTTTCCACTCTACGCGAGTAAGTGAAGACGTATACTCATAAAAAACGTAAGTTTATGAGTGGATTCCTCTTTGATGTGTTTAGGACATGCTTCTATAATTCACTGGCTCGTGGAGTGGTCTGGTGGAACGGGGGTTGGGACTTCATTTCTACTTGGAGGGAGTGTTTTACCGGACTTGTTTCGACATTTCATAGCGTTAAGCAGTCCATTTAGAAAATGCTGCAGGCCACGCATACAGTCCAGGTCACTCCGCTTTAGAGATATCTCTGGTTGCGAAAGATCTATGAGTCTTGGTAGCTTATGATCTAAGGTCTTACGCCAACTGCGACAAAAATGCTTTTTGAGAAAACCTTCCACTAGCATTTTCGAAGAGTACTTTTAGCCAGTTTAGCGACGGAATATCGTATTCAATTTAGAAGTTTCACTCATTACCTTCTAGAGTATAGAAACATAGTGTTTCTCCCCTCACTCCAAAAGGGTAAGAATATATTGGAATATATCTAAAGGTGAGTCATGAAATCAGCTTGGGGACTCAAATTTAAAACATATAGGGAGTAGTATGGGTGTCTCAGAAGTGACTTTATAATGACTTATAGTATCCTAACTGCTCCTGAGGACCGTTTTAAATACCCATTCAAGTTCAGTCTGTACACAAACCCCAGGAGTAACACTCAGTCTTCTGTCTTCAGTCTTCAGTAATAAGGATAGGTGGTCTATCGACCTATATTAATCCTTTCAGTTTGTAATACTGTAAAGGTCCAATCTCATTCTGAATATATCAACAAAAAGTACTGATATTACGTGTTCCGGTAGAAAATTCCAGTAATTTACTACTCGGTGCGAGAAACGAGACTCCAGACGTAAACGATTTGATTTCGGTTTTTGAACTTTCTTCGAATGTCCTCTCACACGATCAGTCCTAGAGAGAAGTAAAAGATAATACCTGTTAATACCAAGGTCATCGTTCAATATACGATAAGCCAATATTAGATCACTCGGTATTCTACGGTAGGATAACGGAAATAAGTTAAAGTGTCTCAGTCTGTCTTCATAAGATAGGCCAGATAGACCTTTTACCACCTTACTACCTCGTCGTTGGACTCTTTCCAGCATATCTGCTTCATACTTGGAACAAGGACTCGCTGCTTGAATCCCATATTCTAAATGTGATCGCACGTAAATCGGGTATAATAATTCAAACATTTCATTATCTAAATACCGCGAAGACCTACGAATAGACCATAACACCCTATAGTCTTTCGCAGCAGCAGCCTTACATTGACTAGTGGTTTTAAGATCACTACTTAATATGCCTCCAAAATCTTTATAGTTTCTTAATTTGGGTAGCAAGAATACACATATTGTGTAGTGATACGAATCACCATAGTTATTTAATTGCATCACCACACTCTTATTAGGGTTTACCTCTAGTAACCACTTGTCCAACCATGCCACCAATCAGCTAAGATCATCCTGTAATACTATTCTATCCGACACACGGTGTATGGATCGCCAAATTTTTATGTCATCAGCGAAGAGTAGAACGGATGATTTTGCTACAGTTGTTAACTCATTTACATAAAGTAGAAAGAGAAGAGGACCGAGTATTGTATCGGAGAACTCCACTTTTTAAAGATATCCACGAGGAAAGAGCTTCATTAACCCTTACCCTTTGTCTCCTCTCATGGATAAAGTTACTGATCCAATCTACGACTGTGTAATGGACTTCAAAACGTTCCAGTTTGAATTTAAGAGCAGAATGGGAGACTTTATCGGAGGCCTTACTTAGATTTATGAATATCACATCTACAGGAATATTCCGAACTTTTGCCGCAGCCCAATCTTTTATTGCAATTAGATTTTTCAAGCATGACAAGCCTCCCCAAAAACCATGCCCTTCAACATAGTTTATAACAGATATCCGAATGAGTTTTTCAATTGGTTTTACAAACACACTAGTTAAGCTAACGGGTCTATAGTTACTAACTAAATCCCTACTCTCAGCCCTATACACTGGACGTATTATCGCGTCTTTCCAGTCTCTGGGCAGTCTGGACTGCCTTAGGGACATGTCAAACAGTATCGCTAATGGTTTAGCAATTACATCTGATATGGCTTTCATAATCCTAGGATGAATATTATCAGGACTTATCAGGTTTGAGATGCTGAAGTAGTCTTAAGGCAGTACCTTTCACAATAACTACAGGGTCCATCAGTGGGCCGCCACAATCACAATGAATCGTTGGTCGTTCCTCATTACTGATATAAAACACTTCACTGAAATATTCCGATAAAACTTCAACTTTTTTTGGTATCATTTCTTACCAAGATTAACGGACAATCTTATATCGGAAGTGATGGAATTCCATCGTTTTTCTGAATTCACCTTTTTAAATACGAGAATAACCGTTTCGGACTATTTCTAGAATCCCTAACCAGTTGTTTTACATATGATCTTCTAGTCTTACTTATTAACGCTTTACAGGCATTCCTAATCTTACAATATCTGGACCTGTATTGTTCTAGGCCAGTAGGGATGGACGTATTCCAGTGCTTCTTCCTTCTTCTAAGAAGTTTCCTGACTGGTCTGGTAATCCATGGTAGACTGTTATTCGGTCTTCGCGGTACCAGGTATGGTATGAACGAGGACGTAACTAAACTAAACTCACCTTTAAATACAGACAATGCTTCTTCAACTGATAAGCTAGTGTCTACAAACCAATCTGTCTTGGCGGAGCATTTGTGAATGACTGATATGTTAGCTTTCCATACATTTGGGTGGGGTGTAACCTGACCGTATATCATATCCTTAGTTCTAAACATGAATGACAAAACAGCGTGATCTCTGTTCACTAACGGTGGAAGAATATTTAGGTCGTCAGTATCCTTAGTCTCATGACTGACTACCAAGTCCAACAGAGTAGAACCTTGGTTAGCACCGAAACGTGTGGGTTTGGATACATGATGCACTAATGCATGCTCCATGATTGTTATCAGGAAACTGCTATCAAAGGATTTTATAGTTCCTTCTGTGGTCACCTCAGTCCAACTAATATCAGGTGCATTAAAGTTTCTTATTATCAAGCATCTGTTATTTGCGCTTCATAGTTGAATGTGCTCTAAAACAAAGTCATCAGCTAAGCAGATTGGACTGCGGCAGATGACACCGAGCATAAATGTACCACATCCGATAGCCAATTCATAGCTAATGACTTCACAATTACCGCTATCATGGGATTCCCTAGCAGAGAATTTGATATTTATATTATTGGCTATATACAAAAGGCACCACCTCCTTTTCTACATCGGTGTCTGTCACTCCTTAGGTATTGGTATCCGGATAATTCTGTAGTAATGTCTAAGTCATGGACTAACCAAGTTTCTGTCACTGCTCAATGAGTGGCCTTAATTTGTCCATTAATGCTTCTAGTTCATAGAGCTAATTTCTTAGACTACGAGCGTTAGCATATAAAACTCCTAGGTAGAACGTCCTATCCACACAGGCCTTGATAGCGTTCGTTTCAAAGACCTGACTATCCGAAAACCCACCAACCTGAAATTCTTCTCACCGTTTTGTCGACGGGTTTCTAGTTTAGCTAGTGCTTTCTTCCTTTTTATTACATCTTCAAGAGACATATCAGATATAATTCGGATGTTGGAATTGTCATGACTACGAGCGCTACTTAACAGGAGATCACATTGCTTCTCGGATCCTAGGATTATCTTAAGGAGTCTGCATGGTCGGGGTTCAACGGTGTCCTCGGTTCTCTTACCTATTCTGACCAGCTTTTTGACCTGAACTCCTTTAGAGTTATATAATAAGATACAACGAATATATGTTCTCCCAGCTTCTCTAAGTCATGCGCGTGTCTAATTTTGGGGTCAGGATCGTTTGACTCCAGCAACTTGCTCACAATAATATTCGATGAGATTAGATTCTCCTTCTCAGGCTACTAGATACTAAAGGCCGTTAAACGAAAGGTTCTTCTATTCTGTCCAGAACAACTTGAACCGTTTAAAAAGTTACATTCAGATTCAGATTCAGTTACATTCACATAAAAATCTTTTTTCCATCAAAGGCTATCCTTGTTACGAAAAATTGGTGCTGTAAGCCCTACGTTTAATACAATCCTTACTAAAATTAAGCAGTATGATGCAGTCCAATCCCGAATAAATTTAAAAAAGGTGTACGTCGGTAATGTTAGTTAATTAATATAGAAGACCAGTTTTTACTATCAATTGAACTAGTATGTTATGAAAACTAATCAATATAACATTAGGATAATACATGTGACCATTAGTCCTTGGTTGCATTGTTAGCAATGCATATTTACGTTATTTACAGCTCATGTTTGCTAGAGCTTGATGTTTAAACAAGTCTATGTCGCTGAAGCATGTAAATGCTATTAAAGCTCGTTAACGAACCATCAGATCTAATTAGTTGTACGTGAATGTCAAGTATTTTTAAGTTAATATACACAAGATAGAAAACATTAAAAATATGATTAATCATTGGAGAGTTTGAGCAAGCAATCTACACACTACGAATTGTAACATACATTGTAAAAACTCTTTGCGCGATAACAAGTACGACAACTGATTTTAAGTGTTGGCTGAACGATTTAAACAAAAACGTTAGAACAATAAAAAGCATCATTTTTGGTGACACTTTTAAAAAAGCATCTAAAACGAGGGCGAACAGATTTGGAGATGCTTTGTGGTGTATGATAGAGTTGTGGGAGATACAAAATGTCAGCTGGTCCTGCTGTCCTCCTTTCTGATGGGAAATGTAAAGAGCGATGTAATAGGTGATTCCTGCTTGACATTATTCTTTATAAATAACATAAGTGCAAATGTAACCACTATTTTTCTATTGTAGTGAACGAAATGGCGGAAGCTATGATCCTGTGAGGTGGAGTGAATATTTTAACATACGGGATGATATAGAACTCGAAGGGGGTGTAAGGATATGCATTATAATTTTCGTCCTTCTAGACATTTAGAATCTATCGTCGAGGTGTCGAAGGGCCTCTCCTCTTCTTCTTACATGGTGGTGGTTTCTCAGCTTTAACATGGGCGGTCCTAAGTGTATGTATTCTTGCTACTACGTTACTTGCTTAGACTCTTATTACTGATCAAGTTAAGTGTCAATGTTTGGCAGTAGATATGAGGGGCCACGGTGATACAAAGTGCCTCAATGATGATGACCTGTCTATCGACACTCTCTCAAAGTACGCTCGTTCTAGAATTATATTTTATTTAAGGGATATAATAAAAATAATATTTGCTATGTATCCAATGGAGGCTCCGCCAATTATCCTTGTGGGCCACAGGTGAGCGACTCAAAAACGTGTTGATGTTTGAGATTTGCAAATTTCTTTGATTTTTCGGATTAGTTTTTGTCACTGTATATTAGCCTTACGTGTTGTAGCTGTTGTAGCTGTTTGTTAACACATTTTTTATATAACTGAAGATTATCACCATGTGCCCTTAGTCACTTATGAGTTGTGTGCACCATTTTTAGAGGCTAAAGATTTGTTGCCAACGTTATGTATTGTTTTCGCTAGTAATCCAGTTTATTTATGGGGTATGGTAGTATATATGTGCTGTGCACCATATTTAGCACATTCTCAAGGTATTCCGGTAAATTTCCTTAGACATAATTTACAATGTTTATGAATACAGTGCTAATCAATCACTACTGATTCTATGTAAACTTTGTTATTTAAGGATGAACCGTATTGTTTTGTTCTCTTCCACCTAATTAATATTTTTAAGCTATCCTTAGATAAAAGACTAATGCATGTTCATTCACATAATACTTAGTAGCTTTTGTTTAGAAGTGCGATTTTCTTTAATTATGGCCATTTGTGCGATGTGTCAGCCATAAAATTCTTTATACTACCTGCTTCCAGTTTTACTGTTTATTTAACAGACCATTTAAATCGAAATCAATTAAAAAATTTCCCCATAATAACTGGTCTACACCACTTCCAACAATAAAGGCGTTTTAATCGTGGTCCGTATCACGTATGTCTGTTAGTTTAGCTATTGAATAATTTTTATGTAAAATTACGGGAAAAGATTTGTGTTGCTTTCGGTTCTTTTCATGCCAAACCCGTCTTCCGTATGGTTTTTTAATATCCCTGAGCTGTTATAATCATGCCATTCTAGAAATCATCCAACCAGTATAAGGTGGAAAATTAGTTGTACTTATAGGGTTTTAACATCTTCAACTAATAAGCTTGATAAAATGTTTGTGGGCTATTAACTTAAAATATTGTGGTTGCCAGTAAGGAATGTGACGGCGTAGATTTTTGGTATTTTGTTTAGCGATGTAGAGGGTACTTTTTTTGTTCAAAACGATAGCTTATGGTCCTGGTGTTGGATAGTATTTTAATATTTGGGAATAATTTATTTGTATTTTAGTGCATTCCGTTCACGTCATTTGTGTAACCTCATGTAGTTGGGAGTTTTTCAGGCTTTTTACACTTTGGTTCATAGTCTTAATCCTACTTGCTCCTCGCATTTTATCTTTAGGCTGTATTTTGAGTGGTCACTCCAGTTTCTGTGACGTAAATAACAATATAAAACAATGCAACTGTCCTCGTGTGTTTATAGAACCAAGGAAGTTGCGAACAATATTAGCTAAAGTAGTATGGGTTCATCTTGTATCTAAGCGGAATAGACTGCTGAAACTTAGCTTAACTTTCATTTGATTAATAATGGAGAATTTCTTAATTTATAGATGTTATAGTCTTTTGCAGTCTGAAGGGGAGTATCCCACTCCATCGACATGTCGTGTGAGTGTTTTTTTACTTAAGTCTGCAACAAAAATTACATGACCAACTGTTTAGGTGTAAGTAGAGACTTCAAGTAGCGTAATACGTTAGTTCAGTATACCCTTCAGTATATGGGACTCATCAGGTTTTCTGGTTTTCAAGTTTGTTGAAGTTTAGAAATATAGTGTATATTGTACATCTCATTGACGTAATGTGAAGGGATACGATATTTTTTTCATGCCCCAGTGTTTTGTCTTTAGAAACCTGTAGGATCACACTCGGGTTAATCTTTCTCATTCAGTTACTCACATTAAAGTAATTCTACATTTCTTTACGGAAGCAATGCTCAGTAATTTATAATATAGTCTCCACGACGTGTAGTTGTAACTCAGAATTCCGTCTTCTGAATCGGTTCTTTGTTTACAGTACAACAGATCTGTATGTTACATTGACCTTTATTGCCTAAAAGCACGTTGGTGCTTTGTTGCGAACATTTTCAGCGTTAATCACTTTTAATTTGTTTTTTTATGATTTGCTCAGTACATATAGTTGTAAAAATACTGGTAAAGTATTATAAGTCCTTGTAATATATATCACCTCAGCGTGTAAGGGTTAGGATTGCTCCTAGTTTCACCCTATCAGTCTTTAGATATTCACAAATCACTCTTGTTTTTGACTAAATAATTAACTCATTCATCAGGTAGGGGCTAAGGATGCTACAAAGTTACACAAACAGTAGTAAGTGGAGCCGTGTTCGTACCAGAGACTTAGTGGCCAAAATTCGAACGTCTGAATCATTAAGCCACATCTTCTGGTCATCAAACACTGGAAATTTTCTGGTGGATCTGTCTTACATAGATCGTTTCCCAAACAGTTATAAAATGGTCTATGTATTCAAACTCCGTTTTCTAATTTTGAGTTTTGTTACCTATTTGACCAAGTTTTATTGTTTACTGCATGGTAGTCGAAGCAGACATCAATATTTCTACAAAAGTAAATAGCTTTTGATGTACATAGCTCACGGTCGGTATATATTTTTCAGATCTTCGGTGGTATTAGTTACTAAGCTGAAAAAATCAGATTGTTTTTTCTTATTTTAGTATGGGTGGAGCTGTAGCAGTACATGTGGCATGCAAGCGAACTATCCCTTCTTTGGCTGGTCTTGTTGTCATTGATGTGGTTGAAGGTAATATAAAATTTCCATTAATGTACGGTTATTGTACAATTATTTTTTTACTTTTACTTTGAATCTGATTGACCAAACATGTGGGACTGTTTAATCACAAATGTAACACACATTTTCAAACAACAGGGGATTTACTCTTCTCGCCTACAAGGAATGTGTTATATAGGTTTTATAAGTTAGGAGTCAACTCTTAAGAAGTCAGTGCCATGTTGACATCCCTGCCTTGACCCCGAGGCAGGATCAGGATGTCTAATGCTGGGTAAATCCAACTGAACTAATCAAGAAGTTAGTTAAGCTATATATTTTGCTAATAAACAATAGTTTTTAAAGCTCGTGTCCATTTATAAACCTTTAAAATTACTAAATTATGTGTGCTTTTACTACATGACAAAAATATGTAGCTAACAACAAAGTCTAATTTGTTGTTTAAAAATGACTTGATCTCATCAACAATTCTAGCATATCTAAACTCCATGATATTATTATTCGCCTTAGTGTTATTTACGTAATTAGGTTTAACAAGCGAAACAAGTTGTAAAAGGATAATTGGGGAGAGAGGTAGTCGAAATATCGTCTTCAGGTCAAAAACCATAATTATTATGGAGTACTAGAAAGTGTGCGTACATTCAAATTCTGGTGCAAGGGATAGATAAATGGTACTTGTACCACCATTTATTTAGCGCAAGTAGTTCTCTTTAGTTCTCTGTTGCTGTGCTTCAATTATTTGCTGTATTGTTATCAATCTTAAGAATTTCGAAACTGTCGGTTGATCTGATTTCTTTCTGGTTATATACCACGTAACAGTAAACATAGCATTCACTTAAATGTATTTAACATCAGTTTTACAACTAATGCATACGAGTCACATGTATCCTTAGTACATATATTGGTTTTGATCATGAGAATCAATTTCTTAAAATGTTTTTAGGATCTGCTTTGAGCTCATTACGTGGCATGACAGCTTTCTTACGTGGTCGTCCTCAAAGTTTTCTTTCTTTACCTCAAGCAATTGAGTGGAGGTTAGTTGAACATTGTTATAGGAAAGAATACTGGTGGTAAAATTCTACAAAATAGTGTTCATAATATACTTATATTTATTTATGTTTTTATTTTTATAATTTGTAAAGGTGATACATTTTTGCTTTAAAAAGGATTTTTCTTCATAGCATAAAGTACATCTCCATGTAAGGGCGTACTTTTAAGCTTTAAATATCCGATTGATTGCATACACCATCAGTTGGTATATTCATGTGATCAAGTGACATAAACGTGTACTTCTAATCGTTTTTTTAAGTTCCTGCTCTTTACTGTTGCAAAATTGCTTTGATAATGAGGTGATTGATTGAGTTCCACATTCACAAGTTTTCAACAAACGTTCAGCTGAAGTAGTAATGTTATTGTGAACTTAGTAATTGGATTTTTGTAGTTCGAAAGCTAGATGTTCACATTGAACTGTTGTCGAAACTTTAGTCCCTAGTTAATTACTTATTCATTATTAAGTAACATATTTTGCAATTATGTCATCTGCACAGTTTTCCACCCCTTAATAGTGACTTTCTGAATGGAGTTCATTATTATTATTATTTTTATTTTAACACATAGATATTGGTACAAGGAGGCACCAAATATATATGCGCCACACAAATCTCATTCGACATGTGTGAGGGCTGTGGTACTACCCGGGTACCCAGACCGAAGCAGGTGGTTTTCTTAGGGCGCCACTCCCCGAGCCTTTGACCTAAAGGTCTAACCCATATGGCAGTGGAGCATCGTGAGGAGATGCAGTCCCATGGAAGCCGGTGACCAACAATTGGTTCATACGCCATTTATTCCCGCAGGATACTGGAGCCCATGTGCACCATTGGTTTGGAATCCGGTTGAAGCGCCGGACATTCGCTTTTCGTCCTCTCATTTTCTTAAACAACACCCCCGCCACGAGAAGGCAGTGAGTAGGACTTCCCTGACAGAGGCTATTTACGCGTGGCCATGTGAGAGCATTTGGAGAGGGAGAGCGGACTCTCCCCACCCTCGGTCGTACCAGGGCATTTGGGGGCCAGTGTTAAATATAGTCTTTTCTTTGTTTACTACTTTTTGTTGATATATTGTAAGTTACTTCAGCCTTTTATTTGTGGTGATTTCTGATATACTGTTCGGTAGCTATTATTATTGGTGAGAGTATAAACAATTTTCGCTCAGATATATTATTTTAATTCAGTATGATAATCACTTTATATGGGGATTTGCGTACATCAGATTAAGGATCTAGAACTTTTAACATTTTTGTTGCAAATGTTGTTGTAAATTATTTACTCATTTGCCTTAGTAACTAAATTGTAACGATAATATAAATTCATTTGAAACACTTATTGAACGTATATTATTTTGCTAAGGGATACATCACTATTATTGCTTATGTTTAGCATTTGTTGTTTTTAAAACAATTGAGTCAACCTTATATCAAAATTTCAATAAAGCACATAATCTACTTTCACACTATATCAATTATATGCGGTGTTAAATTGTATAAAATCAAATTCTATATTGACGTTATTACATTTTGTTCATAACCTTTGTTTTCATGAATTTCGAGGGAGTTATTTTAAAAGAGTTAGTAATATTCTTGATTTTAATCATATTGCATATACATGTTGACTCCTGTTCAGTATTTGAACATTTATTCTTACTGCTTGCCATCGCCACTACAGGAAAAGTTATATCTTTTTGTTGCGAATAAAATTCGGTAAAAGTATAGTAAAAAAATAAGCTAATCAGGATCGAGAATTCCGCGAGCAGTGGAAATACATTTCTAGTGATAGCCAAAAATAGGTTTTTGTCACCACGGTAAAAATGATGGCGTTGAGTGAATTAAAAATTCAGTTCTTTCTCTGTAAATTGTATGCAACACACAAAATCGACACTGTCTCTAAATTCTAACCTTAAACATACAATACAAAAATAAGTCTTGAACTGGTGACACTACATTTCATGGACAAACTAGTCAGACAGTACCTTCTCTTATATTTTTGCATGAAATTCATTCACCCATATAACTATAGAACACTTTCGTGTTATGCCTGATGTCAGTTTGTGTTGAAAAACCTAACCCTAAATACTTAATCCTAACCAGGGACGATGTGTAGACTCTTAACAATCTGTTTGGATCTCTATAAGTGTTCGAGAACAAGCATAATCTACATTCGTATGAACGAGCTTTTATGTATTAGTTTTCTTTCGATTTACAGAAAGAGTAACGTACCTGTGGTAGATGTTAATAAATTCAAAAATTATATCAAATTTGTTTGCGCTTAGTTATATTATTGTTTTCTTCTCCACAAACTATCCATTTACAAAACAATTTTCTGAATGGTTGAGAACTGACTGGAAACTCATCACAGTTATTTTAAATTCGTCTATGTTATTTTCTCTTTTTCAAAGATCTATTTTCTGGAATAATTATAATTTTCTTTTAAATTTCGTTCATAAGTTTTAATTAACCTTCGGAGACCTTCTTTGCTACAGACTAACCTTTAACACAGTTTTCGTAAAATTTATTTTTGTCTACAATATAAATGACTGATTGAAATGTGATATAGCAGTGCTCTTCTACCGGTTGTTACACTAATATAAGAAAGCAAAATTTAACTAACTCCAGGAATAAAATATTTCAAAGAAAGGTATAAGCTGAACAAATATTATCGGCTAGAATTTTTTACGTACAATTAAATTGGAATCGAAAGTGTTTTTATTCATACCATATGGAGAGATTTCCGTCTGATATGCTTGTATTATTCGGTCACTTGTCAATGCTATAAGACTTGCTGGTCTGCATATGATTTGTTGTTATGTCTCAACTTGATCACTATGCTCTCCAAAATAAGTCAAATCGAGGCGGATGAAATCAACTAACTATGTGCTTCTCCAATTATCACCGAAAGTGTTTATTCGGTGTTTATACAGTCTTATCACTGTACAGTTTTAAAATATGATAATTGAAGTTACGTGTTCATTAATACGGTATTTCAACCAATTGTTTTTTTTTTCGGTGCCATATCTTCAAATGCTTGCTGAGTTTTGTCTAATCTCATCTTGTTAAGTTAGTTGTCGTGGTAAAGTAAACCTCCAGGTGATTATGTCATCGATTGGATAATCTCCACCAGTATAAAGCTGCTGACATTAATTATGTAATTATTTTTCATTTATTTTCAAGCGTTCGCAGTTCGCAAATACGTAATGTAAATTCAGCTCGTGTGTCTTTCCCTGGTCAGTTAAAGCGTATCACAAGTGGTCAGACTGCAACAAGCGAACTAGATTCAGGGATCGCAGTTCTCTCTAAAACTGTTCCGTCTATTCCTTCTGTAACTTCAACGCTAGATGGTAGAGTCTCTTCTGTAAGTCGATTATCAAGTCAGCCATTGGTTGAAGATTCAGAAATAGATAACTCTAGAAGTTCAGAAATCAATTCTGAAAATAATTTAGAAGTTGATCAAAATTCAACAAGTGTGAGTTATATTTATTTCTTATTTTTATGTACGTCACCATTTCATTTATCGATTTATATAACTAGAAATGTTTTCGTTCCTAATAGATATTTATTGGTAAAGTATACGTTCAATCGTCTTTTGTATTTTCAGTGAGAATAAATTTGGTGCTATTGTGGTTGTGGGCGTGTTGAGTTGACTTCGGTTGTCGTTTTTTGCTCATTGTGTATAGCTCTCTTATTGGTAATTAATTTTTTTGTTTTCATCTTAAATGCTTCCGTTCTTTTACTCATCAACTGGTTGATTTTAGTTAGTAAAAAACGTTGTCCAGCAATTTATGTGTATTTCCCCCTTTTGATAATTCACATCCATCCCTGGCTAAAGTTGTACAAAATTGTATTCTGTTTTGTTGCTTATCTTGTTAATTACAAACTTATTTTGTGTCAGTCAGTCATCGACGTCGTGTGCGACTTGACATGAATATGTATCAGTTCACGCCGTTACATTCCACGTTTACACAGTGAGTGGATGATGAAATAAATAAAATAAGGGTGGGAAAATAATTAGGAATGCAATAAAAAGTATAACGTATAAAAAGAATCGAATGTGTTCGAAGAATGAAAAGTACGAAATCTTACATTGAATTTCGTACCCCGAAGAAGATAAGTGATCAGTATAACTGTATTAATATTGGCAGAATTCTCGACACTTACCTTGATTCTGGGGTTTTCATGGGAATATCGACGTCATTAATCACTCTCGCTTTTGTTTGTTACTCGCACATTGAGGTGAGGATTATCGAAATCATGTTTGAAGTTACGTCTTCGGTCAAAATAAACACTTACTTCCTGATTTAATATTTCGTAGGGCTAGAATAAGAAATTTCGAATTAGACCTCTGTTTTCGAATACTGTTTTACTATAGAAAGGGGGGTTCTATTGAGGTTTGTGACTGGTATGAAGATATTATAAAGGGAACTGTTTCTGTCACCAGTCATTTTTATGACTTACGATTGTTGTATTTTCTACTGCCTAATATTTTTTTGGACACGTTACTTCACTCGACCAGTAGCGAATCAGAACATAGGTTCGTAGCGAACGAAGGTATACCTCAGAAATTCGGATCTCAAAAAATAATGTAGTACGAACATTAGCATTTATGTAAAATTAACGCTGGAATTTATTGTTTTCTCAATGCACTCGCTAGAGCTGATTGATTGAAAATGTGCCGATCAACGTGCCCCTACCTGATATCGACACAAGCATTCACTAATCAAAGGAACTATCCTCCTAACAGGGTTGTGTTAACAAGAACAAATGATGTCAGCATTTTGATAGAGATTTCAATGGTTAAAATTAAGTTGATACATAAGATGGAGTTTTCCTTATAATTATCAGGAGCATCTGGCCCTTGTTGTACAGATTATATGCAAGATAAGAAAAAATAGTACATCTTGAGAAACTTTTGGCTTCTATTCGTTGTCAATGGAAAATTTGTGTTGAAATTCCGAGTTTCTTTGTCATCATTTGTGTTGGAATAGTTCATTCTTTGTTGGATATAACGAGTTCGATAATTGGTTAAAACTTATTTCATTGCTACTCACATCTTTCTAACAGCTGCAATTGATTGTCTCGTCAATAGATACTATAGGGAACAAATAATCCGTGGTTTTCCTGTTTAGAAGCCTCCAGTGGCTTGAGATTAGGCTTAGTAACGATTGAATAGCTTTATGAAGGATGGGTCTAGGTTACCTTTATGTTTATAGTTATAGGAAAAGCACCATTTCAAAACTAATGAGAAATAATCTTATATATACCATCGATATTATAGTTCAACTCCGTCACAATGCAAAGCTAAAATAATCAATGGAGGATTCTGCCGTAATACTTTTATTCAGTTAATTAGCGGGTTTTTTGTACATAACATATTGTGATTTATGTGATTCATGGAGTACTTAATGTCCATCAATTCAGACAAACAAGTCAATGAATCAACAAGTTAATATCAAAATATTGTACTGGCAAATTTACCTTAAATAGTCTGAATCATTAAAATTCTATTGTGAATATATTAGACTAAATAAGTTATTTATCTTACTTATTGTCTTTAAGATATCAGGAAACAGGGATATTCACGAAAACTACCTACATTAGGTACATTTTTACCTAGATCAATCGGTGAGACTAAGGTGCATATCAATTTTAAGTATTTTAGTACAATTTAATCTTTGTTGTGCAATAGGACTATGATTTAATACGTTAAATTATATTATAGACGTATAATAAAAGTCTTACATGGGTTATTAGTTTATTGGAAATGTCTCCGAGACACTACCTATAATGTCATGGAATTGATCGAAATTTTGTCACAATTATGGTTCTTTATTTTAGAGACTTCTTTGTAAGCTAGAAGGTATGATGCCATTCCGTTCGTAAAAATGGTATGGTTTTTAAATTTCATTATTACTCTTAGTTGGTAAAGACTTGACTCTATGCGATTGATTTTATTAAACGTTTCTTAGATCTTTGCGTGTTGTTCATTAAGTTATGTGTCACATTCTGTTTAGATCGTGTTTTGCTTAAACATACTTTTATAGCTTCCTAGCTGTCATAATGATGCTGACAGTTTACAATACAATACAGAAAATGTATCGGTGGATTCATCTAAATTTTCCAGTCAGTCTATTGGAGAATCTATTAATTCAATAAGTGGTTGTACACTTCCTTCTTTTACTGACTCTTCTACTATTTCAAAACATTCTGGTTTGGTAACATGTCAGTCGGATCGTCCACAGTATACTTGGCGAATAGATTTAATTAAAACACAACCATTTTGGCAAGGATGGTTTTCTGGTTTGTCTAAACTATTTTTATCAATACCTGAACCAAAATTACTTCTGTTAGCTGATGCTGATCGATTGGATAAAGATTTAACCATTGGACAAATGCAAGGTTTGTATTAAATTTTTTGTCTTATTATTGTCGTTATTTTAGCAAAATACACCAGTGAATGTCTATGATTATTATGATTTAAATACAGTACAGACAGTATCACAGCCCGCACACAAATCAAGTGACTTATGTAGCGCATATTTATTCGGTGTCCCTTTGTACCAATATTTATGTGTTCAATTAAAAAAGTAAAAAAAATACAAACAAGATATATAGATTCTTATTCTAGCTTCAAGTCATATTTAGTGCTTAAGGTTTGGGGATTAGCTGGGGCAGGTAATAAAATTAATATACTTAATAACATTAACGTTAATATCACTTTGTATCATTTCATCTTACTCGATTCGTTCATTTATTCTGTTCATGTTGATTAAATATTAGGTGTATGTTGATGAGTTAACGCATGAACCATATTGTGTAAGGAATGTTAAGATTTATGTTTTGTGTCATGAATTTCTTTTGACTGTATCTTGTATATTTCTAAAGCTAAGGATCATGAATAATATTTTTTTTCTAAAAATCAACCGCAATAATTAATATCCCAGTTTTAATATTTTTTTAGTGATAAACAAGTTTATGTTCTTCTGAGTTAAGACATTTTAGTTGAAAGAAACCAGAATGAGAGATTCCTGTGTCGTCTAAAAACGATGCTCAAACGAAAAGAGCTATTCTCTGAAGTTTATGGATAAGTTTATAACTGAAATACTAAAATAAGCATAAATCATCTCTTTTTTTAATGAATAATGATATGGTGAACAGTGCAAATCGAAGAATAAGCACCACACTAATAACCAGCATCATGTATGATAAATTAATCCCGCTGTATAAAACGTATATCTGAAATCAAATGTTTACATATTTTTATTAAAGTCATATCTGTTAGTTTATATGTATATGCTGCAGTATATCTTTTTCGGAAGGATATAAAGACAAAATGCTACTTGATTTCTTGAACATATACCTAATTTTTATTAGTGGTTGAGTTATAAATAATGAATTGATAAGCACATTGATATTTACTTCATAATGTTGCTGATATGTATTATTGTCATCAATATTGATATTCAGGTTGTACGAACCGTGTAGGTAGGTACTGACTATTACCTGATGGTACTCAGGTGATTATCCTAGCCTATATTTGAAGATAACTGTTTCACCATATAAACCTAGCATTGTTTATTCTAGTATTTCATTCATTGTATCATTTATCAGTGTGTATTTAGTACTTTTCTTATCTGCATTAAGGTTTTTAGTTATTTTTTCTACATTTGACATATTCGATTGTGCCTGGAAAGGTTTTTGAAGTCATTGAATACAAAAAAAATAGACAATTTGTGTACTCTTGATTGGTTTGTATGAAGACAGTATATTATAGAACGAGCTAAAAATAAATCCAGTCAGTTCTCAACCATTCAGAAAATTGTTTTGTAAATGGATAGTTTGTGGAGAAGAAAACAATAATATAACTAAGCGCAAACAAATTTGATATAATTTTTGAATTTATTAACATCTACCACAGGTACGTTACTCTTTCTGTAAATCGAAAGAAAACTAATACATAAAAGCTCGTTCATACGAATGTAGGTTATACTTGTTCTCGAACACTTATAGAGATCCAAACAGATTGTTAAGAGTCTACACATCGTCCCTGGTTAGGATTAAGTATTTAGGGTTAGGTTTTTCAACACAAACTGACATCAGGCATAACACGAAAGTGTTCTATAGTTATATGGGTGAATGAATTTCATGCAAAAATATAAAAGAAGGTACTGTCTGACTAGTTTGTCCATGAAATGTAGTGTCACCAGTTCAAGACTTATTTTTGTATTGTATGTTTAAGGTTAGAATTTAGAGACAGTGTCGATTTGTGTGTTGCATACAATTTACAGAGAAAGAACTGAATTTTTAATTCACTCAACGCCATCATTTTTACCCTGTGGTGACAAAAACCTATTTTTGGCTATCACTTTAAATATTTTGAGGAGTCTAGAAATGTATTTCTAATACTCGTTATACGTGATATTTGATCTGTACTCAAAGTCAAATTCTCAATTTTGTTTGGTTCATCTCTCAAGTATACTTTATACAATTTATATTCATACAATGCAGTTTTTTTAGGTAAATTTCAGGTTCAACTGTTCCCTCGTGCTGGTCATGCCGTTCAAGAGGATACTCCAGATAGAGTAAGTTATAGTTTCTTTCTGTCTCCCTCATTAGGTGCTTGTTGGTGTATTAGAAAGTATATAACAATTGTTGTGTAGCTTTTTCATTGTTTTCCTATTTTTGTGTTGACATAATTATGTTTGTTGTCTAGTGACCGGTGACATTTGTGTTGTGACATTAGGTGTCTGTATATCTAGTAGTCAATACATCTGATTTTCTATTTCATGGTCACAAATTCTACCTACACTGCGGTTGCACGGGTTTAGCCAACCATAAAGTATTATTGACTGTAACACAACTCTAGGTACATTGATCCATATTATGTAGATTTTTTGTAAAAAATTAATTTTTAAAATCGAAAGTGAAGTGAACTGTTTATCTGGATTATCACACCTCACCCCAAACTAGTCGATTTATTAGCTTACCTCAGTTTTCAACTACAAATCCACTATCGTTCACTTTTTGTCTCGTATAGCCAAATATATTATGTCATTTTGACAGATGCTTTCCAAATCTATGAATGTTATATCAGTGTCACTCCTGTATTCTATTCTAATTTCTTATCATTTAGTTAATGATTATACTTATGCACTTATATGTGTATCGTTTTGTTTATTTGTGTTGTTTTTTGTATCCCTTTCCTTAGATAAAAGTATGTATCTAGAAATGTTTAAATATAGGAGTAAGGTTGTTTTTTTCGAAAAAAAATATTGTACGCACACTTAAAACAACAAAAAGTATGCAACTTGACATCCTGGTGAGCATTGTTCATGTCAGATGTTGAAATGCCTTTATAGAAAAAGTAACTAGATTCGTTTTTCGTCTTGGTTTGACACTGAAATGAAATACGCAACCATAGTCCAATCATTCGTATTTGTGTTGAACATCTTATCCTTGGAGCAAATAAGTCGGAATACTATAGTCATAGTTCTTAGAATTCTATATTTAAGTTAGATTGTTTTATCACTGAGTAGGGGCCAACATTGTGTTTGTGTAGTCCTTTAGTATTAATCGAATTCCATTGATCAAGTTAAAATATGACGAACAATCTGATGGACTCCATATGATATGTACTATGATTTGATGTTTGTTAGTTGGAGGTGGTGAACAAGAAATTCTGGAGATAGATTTCGTGCTAGCTGGCATTAGTTAACAAAACATTCCTGTGGTGATAAAGGAACTGGCACTCCCTGTTGTACTAAAACGTTACTAATAAGCTGTCTGGGTCGTGACTGATATATTTACTTTGTTTTATCACTGACTCGTGGTCAATGGTGTTAATGTCTAACTTCAACCAATCCACGATCTTGCTCAGTCCAGTGCTTTCAGGTTTTCAATGGTGATCTAACATTGGTCGGTTCATGATCTCAATGCAGTTAATTGTTTATTTTTTGTCTCGTCTGAGTCGTTATGTTTCACTTTTTAATAAAATACAGTCGGAGATATATTCCAATTATTTAGACTTAACCATTGCATTGTTCTATCGAATTTTTCATATATATATATATATATATATATATATATATATATATATATATATATATATATATATACCATACTGAAATGCTTTAGTTTCGTATATCTTTGTATTTCGTTGACAGTATAATTACTTGTTTTATATCTTGTCTAATCGATTAAAACAGTTATTTCAGCATAATTTATAGTTTTTTTAATAAAATAATTTTTATTTTATTTAGGTTGCGGAATGCCTGGCTAGATTTCTAGTACGCAACCGATTCACTGAAGCTCGTTCAGATTTGTGAACAATTAATGTAGGTATTTTAGTAATGATAATAATAATACTGTTATTCAAATTGTAAATTTATCTGTCCGTTTTTTTATCTCCTATAATAATTATCAAATGATCAAATGATACTATGTTAACAGATTTCTTAGAGATTTTTAAAAAATATAGTTCTACATTGACTGAGCACTTAGTAGTAGTAGTGTAATTCTTTGATATTGATCTGGTTTTTCGACTAAGATACATGAGTATGGTTTGTTGAAGAGTGACATTTAACAAGAAACCTAGCTTCAGAACATTTTACCGATCTACTAACTAACTAGAATTTTTCAGCAGCTAAGAATCGGTATTCATGTTAAAAATTCATTTATTCTTTATCTTTCTCTGAAACTTATTTTTATTCTGTTTCCTTGAAAAAATATTTTATCCAGTTTTCTGCTATTTTTGGTTTTATCATTTTGTCTACTTTGTTTTCTAACATTTTATCTTCCTCCTGCTGTAATAGGGCAACGTGAACTGATACACGTTTGTGCTGCTTTTTATATTGCTTGATTGATCTTTAATTGTACGTTTTATTCTGAATACGTTGTTTTCCTGCTGTATGCAAATAGTTTCACTTGTTCCTAGAAATTATTATTAATAAGGTTGGAACTATTTTGTTGATATACGTCCATTTTGTTGACCAAATAGTTCAAACCATATAAGTTATGGTGAGAACGCTTTCATTATTTGGTGAGCGAGTCTTTCCGACCGTTAATATGAAGAAAAACATGTGTTCATAAATAAACTCAATAATGCAATGTGATAGTGTTGGTTGCTCACGAGAACGAATTTTTAACGTAAGTCCCCGATTGGATTAAAACCAAATATAAAACCACTAGCAAAAAGAATAGGTTTATTTTTAGGTGGTAAAATGACATACAAAACATTAACACGAAATCAATATGATAAAATGACCTGGGAAAAAATTAGTTTTGAAGTCCCTAAATTTCTAATCAATTAAGACCTCTTCTTTGTACTCGTCATATCAAGAAATAATTCAAATTGTCTCTGAATTAATTTCGATTTTTTAATCTATTTAAGAAATATGTGTATGATTATATACATAAATATTAGAGATGTCGACCTCTTTCTTCTCTTAGCTATGTCATATCCTTTTTGTTTTCTAGTATATATTTTTCATTTTCCCTATATTTTTTATTATTAATGTTCATCAGTCGATATTGCATAATGTATGGACGATAAGTATTGAATCATATTCTTCATTCTTTTTTTAAATGGAAAAGAATATAGCTTAAAGATTTGACGGTAAAATCGTAATATACTAATTGGTTTAAGCAATCAGAATAAGGATAACGGCTCATGTATTTTGAGGGAAATGTACAGTGCAGCGATGAATAACTTATATCTTATTATTAACTAAGTGAAGTTTGACAGTGTTTGATTCTTAAAATGTTTGAAATCTATAAAAATATCTATTATGCAACTAGAAATAGTGGTGCTCGAACTAAACTACATGACGTACCCGGTACTAAGGCAGATTGTATGGTAAAGTACTTGATTACGTTCATTGCGTAACCAAGAGTGTTGAATAAAGCTAGATAATATACTCCTTTTTTTACTCTTACTCCGAATCCCAACCCAACGTTTCTTAAGTTTGTAAATAGAAAGATGGCAAAGCATTGTATTATAGCTGATGTCAGTTCGTGTTGAAAACCCCGACCCTTATTTTTAAGCCTGACTCAAAACTTCAGTTTGACTTTTAGTACCTATCCCTAACCCTTTTGCGTCATAACTGGTGTCAGTTGGTGACGAAAACTCCATAAGGTGACAACACTAGCACAACTCCCAATATGCATGTAGATTTGCAAGCATGACTTTTTCTTTACTACACGGGATAATTTGACACATGAGAGTTAATTATTCCATCAAAGTAGTTATTCTGTGGTGCACGAAGACTTGGTGGGGATAACTGATTTATCGTTTAATGCAAAATTACACAGTTTTAGTAAAATATGAAAACTATGCATTATTTTCACATCTTCCTACAGCTATCTTTTACATGCTTCATGATTCTTTCAATTCTGTTCTTATGACAATTATTCTGTTTCCCTTTTTGTTCTCTTCAATTCACTTTTCTGTTACCAGGCATTCCACATCCGATTGCCGCTATATACTACATATATCTGTCAGCGTAATTAGTATACACCCTAATCCCACTGTTATTTCATTGCTTTGTATCGTTACTTCTTTTATAACTAGGCAGCGTTCTCTGAGTGGCTGACAAGTCACCCAATATCGTCAATGTCATACTTTTACCGATTTGACAATAAGAACATATCTGTTTTTTGTTTTTACTGTATCCTGTTTTGTATTCATACATGATTATGTTTGGCTTATTTGACTTCTCTCCTCTTATTAGTTACGTAGCTTGTTTTTGTTTGATGCTGTTTATGTGATGACGGTTTGTCTGTTTATCCGTCTCATTCTTCCTATTTTTATTCGTTTAAAGTAATGGGTATTTCTATATGTAGATGGGTTTATTTTTTCATGTTTATTATTATCACTATTAAACTTAGTTATCATTTTTCTACGTATTCTAGTGACTGTCGACCACATATCAAAATCGTTTTGAATATTGTTCGATGTTATTCACATAATTCGGAAGTTTCCTTGTTTCCAACGCTAGTATGTTTATTACCTCTCTCTCTCTCTCTCTCTCTATATATATATATATATATATATATATATATATATATATCCGTAAACATGGTTGTTTCTTGTTGACAAGATTTTTTCATTACTAGGTCTAAGTATGATAGGAAAATCATATTTAACTTATTTGTTTGTAGTAGTACTAGTGATATGAATGCTGAAATTTAAAACACTGAATTATAGGTTTGCCATGACAAAAGATAGTGTTATGTTTTCATGTTATTCAATTGGGATATTGTGAGTATATATCTACGAAGACTTGTAATCATACTGTTGTGAACGAAGGAGTCTTGTGGGGAAAACCAATTTATTGTTTAATGCAAATTACAGTGTCTTTGTAAAATATGAAAACCATGTATTAAATCCATTATTTGCACATCTTGCATCACTTGTATCCTACAAATTTCATCATTCCTTAATTCCTGTTTTCATTACAATTTTTCTTTATTTACATTCCTGTTGACTTCAATTCGATCTTTTCATTCTTCTGCTATCAGGCATTCCACTTCTGATTGGTGTTGCATACTACTGATACCTTTTAACATAAGTGGCATGCACTACAATACCACTAATTAATATTGCAGGTTTTTATAAGCCTACACTAGAATTTGTATAGAAAACAAGGCATTCATCAATAATAATGCGAAGGACCTTAATTCTAGTACTAAGTATTAGATTATAACTGACATTCTTGGCAATATTTTTACTTTCTTTTATATAAATTCAATTTGCTTAGTAGTTTCAGTTCCTTTTTGATCACTTCCTTTGTTCATTGTTTATAACCTTACTCTGGACTAAATTCACTTTTTTAAATTGTGAATCAGTATTAGTACTTGCATTGGCTAACTTTCCTGTTCAGCACGAACAGTCCGGTAGTATCATTAGTCTATATACAAAAAATTTAAGCTCAACGACTGCATGAAATTATACTTTTTGATTGAATTCTTTGATAGTCATTTGGAAAAGCGGCAAATAAAAGTTAACTTTATGCTAGATAGTATATACCGTTAATGTGTATTGACCTCCAAAGACCAACAGGAATCATATAATGTAGAGTAGGATTCAGTTGAATCAGGTTTTTCGGTTTGTATTGTCTAATGTAAAGAGGTTCCTCATTGATGAATATATGCTTTCACTAGATAAGGAAGTTTTAATGTTATTTTTTGTATTCAAACTGCCTTTCAGTATAAATGCATATTTAGTGTACTAATGCTACAAAAATAATCGTTTAAATATATATGTCGAATGTATTTTGCGCTAAATATAGGGGAAAAACTAAATCAAATCAAATAGTTCACTATGAAAATAACATTACTGATGACAAAGAAATTTTTGTATGCCGAAAAACGATAAATTACTTAAGAATTCCAAGGAAGTGTAATCGATGCATCTACCATTTCTTTATATTATATGTTGCCGCTTTCGTGTAATTCTAACATCTTCTGCTTCATCCTATTTAATACTCGACTCAATAAAGCTGAGCTTTGGTATATTTTAGTGTTTGAACTACTGTTTTTTTATTCAGTTTGTTCGGTGCTATGTTGCATTAGTTACTTTTAGCATAAATTCGTATTCATCAATTTCATAGCTGGTAAACTTTCATCGATTTTTTGTCACTGAATTTATTAGATCTCCTATCTGTTAGTATGTAAATTACTTCTCTAAACCAAAATGTCTTGACCCCACTTCAGGGACTGTATATATGCACTTAAAAAAGAGAATTTTCAATGACAATTAATAATAAATTTCATGGTTTTTCTTTATTGTTCGTTGTCAGGTGAATATAATTGAGTTAAAAGTTAAAAAAAATAGTTCCATAAATGTATATTAATGTTATGTTGAGGAGATCGTGTCATGTATGGCGCTGTGCTATGTTGTAACAAATGTGGTAGTGTGAACCTGCCGACGTTTTTTTATTCAACGTACTACATTTTCCTCGTTTGCTTATCATACATACATGTGAAAGTAACATGTATGTGTGTTGTCTGATTAAATTAACATAGGTTGTTCATGACTTTATTATATATATATATAATTTTGACTTGCTGTTTGCATGTGTCCGAAATTAGTTTACAAGCTGATTGCCTATGGTAATTATTTAAATATGATTTCTAAGCGTTAAATTAGTGTTTGTTATTAACAATCGAGTGTCTTTTTACCGCCGTCTGTCAATGTTCTAGTATTTTGTATAACCATTCACACCAAAACGCTATTTAGAAAAACGCAATAGTTGTGATTTCCATTTCGATCGTTATTTTTTTAAAACCATCTCTCGTTTTCTCTTATGTATTTGTGTGTTTGTTTGTCTGGTTATGTACATAGGAATGCTGTGGTAGCCTTATAGTACAAACCTATTTACTACTGATTAATTTTTTTTCACTCAGTAGTCAGTTATATCTTTTTTTTTTATTAGAAGAATTTTTCAGATAGTTTCCGTCTATTGTAGTATTGTTCATAATTATATATATGGTGGCGGCAGTATATGGTTTCACTTCATTAAAATGTCACCTACACGCATAAGGCTTCATTTTTCTATGGATCGTAATTGTATGTATGGAATAACATATACTTTAACTGTAAACTTGATCTGTAGATCCACTTCACTCCGTGTTCATCATTACAGTGGAGAAACAAATAATACTTGTTCATCATAATTATGAATTTGATGTTGGATTGTGGTGAACGCAAACTTGGTGGGGATAACCAATTTATTGTTTAATGCAAATTACAGTGTCTTCGTAAAATATGAAAACCATGTATTAAATACATTATTTACACATCTTGCATCACTTGTATCCTATAAATTTCATCATTCCTTAATTCCTGTTTTCATTACAATTTTTCTTTATTTACATTCCTGTTGACTTCAATTCGATCTTTTCATTCTTCTGCTATCAGGCATTCCACTTCTGATTGGTGTTGCATACTACTGATATCTTTTAACATAAGTAGCATGCACCGCACGTTACGATCAAATTCTCTCGTTATAATGTGGTATCTGTTAGCAAACATTAATTATTTAACCTATGCTATACTATCATCTTGTGAAATTAGTAATTATGAACAGTGTAGTGAAATATCCGCTTTCATAGTAGGATGTCTCTATTAATGGTCCCTACTGATATTTGAAAATTTTAGTTGATATAAAAGTGACCGTGATTAGCTGGATTCGTGTTCAGCTTCCTAAATATTTTCAATCTAACTAAATCCTTTTGGAGTGTTGTAGTTATCAGTATTTGTAAAGTAGACTTATTTGAGTCATATATATACATGTTTAATGATGTTTTCTAATTTTTTTATATACTGTGTATTATCTTGCTATCTTGGATTAAATGCTCGATTTCTTTACTTCGAGTAGAACAGAATACTGCATCCTGTATGCCATTATTTATAATGATATACACGTAAGCTTTTGGTAATCATCCGTTGTACACAACTACATATAATTAGTTATCATTAATTAAAAGTTTGTCACGTTACAAGTAACTCATGGTTATACTATTTTGGTTAAATAGTTTATTTATAAATTATAACCCTAATTTATTGTTTGTTGTATTCAAAACCTCGCTCGGCCAGTGGTTATGTTTTTAGTAATGTATTTATTTGCTTGGGATTTGGGGTCTGTCCTGTGAGCTTAGTAGTAGTCAATTTAACTAATTCGGTGGTTTGTTTTTTCTCTCTGTCGAAATATAAACCAGGAAGTATTGATGAGCCGTTTTGTCCTGGTATGAGATTTCTTAGCACTGTGCATCCATGACTTAACTAGGAATCAATCCCTTGTTGTTATACGCTTTAAATTTTTCTTTGTTTCTAATCTGAATAATGCCTACTGATTTTTTTTCTTTAAATTTTTTAGTATCATATCAAGATTATTGCGGAATTCCACTATTCAGTTTTCATATATCGTCGAATACACTTTCTTCATGACTGGACAGTCGCTAATTAGACTTAGTTTGTGTATTTGTGTATGTGTATACATAAAGCTTTAATCATAGTATTTGTATAATTTCTTTTATAGAATCCTATATTACCTTCTCTCTCTCTCTCTCCCTCTTTGTAGTGTGACTATTCAAATTCAGTTTGTTTATTTTCGGAAATTACTCAAAATGACACTGCAAAATTTCATGCCAAAATTAATTGATTAAACAAGAGAATAGATAATTAGTGCTGATTGTTCTTTTTTCTTGTTTACTTCTTCCCATTATTAGTATCTGTTTGTGTATATCTACTTATGTATGGCGTATATATACACTTTAATAATGTTATAATGTATGTGCACGGGTTTCATTGTACTTCTGCTATCAAATTTTTTTAAACTTCAAAAATGCAATTGATTATTTTTATTTGTTTATTGATAACTTCTGTTTTCTCATTTTTCATTTGACATGATGATTCTTGTAGATTTTCGAAAAGTGTCATTATGACTAACTCTTCGTTCATTCATGTATAGGTGTGTAGCTTCTTCTTTCCTGTTTTTTTCCGAAGTAAAATGAAACACTCAACTTCATTTTATTTCTCTCTTGTTTCGGTTTTGTCTTCTCTAATAAATGATCATTTTGAAGTAGCAACATCAGTGTCATCGTAGATTCGTATTGAATGTTTTGGTTTTTTCGTTTGTTGAGCAGAGAAACTATCTTCATGAATGTGTACTCTAAGCTGAGAATAATTTTGAATTGCATATAATTAGTTATTGTTGTTATCATATTTCCTGTACAAAATTATCTTTTTTTTTCGGAGTTTTCCTTGATTTTCGTAAATTAGAGATCTTCAAAGGGTAAAGTGTTCATCAGTTTGTCATTAACTGTTTTATTTATTCACTTACTATACTTGAAGTTGTTTTTTAAATCTTGGTTATTGTTGTCTTGTAGTTCTCTTTTAACAGAGTTGTTTGTGTTATTTTAAATGCTGGTGCTAATAACTTATATTGTCAAGTCTGTTATTTGTTTCTGTGTGGTAATCAATCACATCAACTTTTTCTTTTTGGCTTTTCTTTCTCGTATATTTTATGTTCTTACGTGTATGTGGTTGTTGATACGATTCAGTGCGCTTATCTACTTTTTTTTATTCGAGGTTTTTACCATTGTTATTCTTTCTGTCTCCCTTCTGCTCTTATCTTTTCGATTCATGTATTTTTACAAAGAATATTTCTCGCTGACAATCAAGATGAAGTGTTAATAAAACTATAAATGCTAGTGATTAGCATCTTGTATTATTAAAATCCGTGTTTTTTTCTCTCTCGTGTTGATGATTAACAAATAAAATTATGCGATTGTTAGTTCATTTCTGATAATCAATAATTTCATAATGTGTTTGGTTGCTACTGCTTTTATTTTTTTCCATTCGATTGTTAAATGCGAGTTAATGTTATGCTTTACGATCACCTACTCTAATTCCTGATTATTAACGATTAAGATATTTTCCTAATATAATACACTGAATTTATGTAAACTTGATAGATTAGATAACTAACATGCATAACTCTTCAACAATAATCCTCAATGCAATAGAAAACAGAGGGAAGTTAGGCAGACAAAAAAGAAGCTTGTTGTTCAAGAAATCAAGTTTTTAATGGAATTAGTCAGCATATCGAATAATTCGCAATGATTTTGGAGCATAGTAAATTTAACAGGCTGAACCCAAGAACTGTTGGGGAGACCCAGAAAATTCCTCGAAAATAGCCCACATGTGTCCTGAAAACGCTGGGAAACATTTTATTCAGTCAGCATTTATTAGAAGATTCTCAGAAAAATCTAGAAAATTAAGAGTCACGTGTTACATTTCTGATTAGATTATTGTTTACCCTGCTACTATGTTTAGTAGGGTCCTAGAACTTTCCAGAAGTCCAAGACAATCTGATATGTTATAAATACACTCGATTTTTGTACATAAGCTAACATCGGAGTAAAGCGTTCTTCCCGTATTACGCGCCTTTTCTCTCGTGTTCAAGTTGTAGTGTGGAGTTAGCCTAGAATTAATAGAAGAACTTGGAAAACCGATTCAAACGTTCAGTCAGAAGATTTATCAAGAACAACCTATCAAATAACAACAAAGGTGTTCGCGAAAATATCGAATGGGAAAATGTCATCATAATTGCTTTTATCTGTAGGAGCTATAGTTTATTAATGAAAAATTAGGTAATTTAAAGTCTTCATAGCAACTGACGTATACATGTCAATACATAGTTTTGTACTGAACAATTCCTTTTATATAAAAAATCAAACTAAATTGATTGGGTACTTCAAATTATTTGATAGGATCTAAGCAAACAAACCTATTTTGATTCACATACAATAAATCAACTAAGGACTGTAGTAGACTGTCGTACAATTAATTTTAAAAAAATTTAGGGTGTGGCATCTTATTCTTTCTCAATAATTCCTTTTTGTAATAATACACTTATCTCATTCAAATTCCCATTGTTCGAAAAATCTCTGTTACTCCTCGGGAGTTTCACTTTTTGGGGATCTCATCATTCCTGAACTTTAAATATTCTATTAGTACAGTCTGGATAGACTTTTCCAAGATTTGTTTCATCAGTAATGATCCGAAACGCATGGAAGACACCATTCCATTCGTGTTTTGCAAACAAAGGATGTTGATAGTTGTCTTGGTATTGCATGATTCTCGTAGTTGTCATAGCCCTCCCCGAACTGCGTTATCCACTTGGCGGGCACAATATTGTCTTCATGGACAGTCCTAAATATTCATGAATTCTAAGTTTTCCTCCGCGTAGTTTTTTGACGGGTCACGATTGTCTTTTTCTGTATGTAGGTAACGTTGGGGTGTTAAAATATTCAATCTAACATAGTAGAGCATGTATATCAATATTTACAGTTTCCAACATGTATTTGAATGGCAACCTAATTTTTTCAGGTTGGATAGCTGTGCACTGAAGGCATTTCACAAAGCGATTATCATGATAAGTTGACCATAAGTTATACATAAGGCGTCAGGTGCATACTGAATTTGTCAACTTTCCTATGGAAGAGATTTTCTCACAATTAAAACGTGATATTTCAAATGTTTTCATCGGACTAATAAAACAGACTTGTAAGAAACTATGCTTAAACTGATTACTGTATGTCCGATACTTTCCAACTGTGTTACAAACAAACTATACTTCATTTATCTCCATCAACTATTCTAAGAAAATTAGTTATACTGAGATATGAAGGACGGTTTAAAAAATTGAGTTTACTTCTTGAGAATCTTTATCCATGTTGATCGTAATGTGAAAACATCACGAAAGTATGAAATCATTATTATGATTCACAATAATAATGGAAAAAGCAAGCTGTTGGAAAAATTCAGTTCTCGTCCAGTCTGTTGAGTTGCTTAACTGTTATAATAAGAGTCTGATAAATTTCTAAAAGCTAATAGAAGAGGTTTTATTTAGTTTTTATATTTTTCATTAGAATTGGGATAACTACTTACATTGTAAGGATATAATAAGATGTTGATTTATACGGATCTTTGCAAAAATGCTAACCATGACATGCAACTTTGTAATGACTTTACATTTATAATTTCCCACATTAATGAATAATTAGAAAAATGACGTTAAGACGAAGAATAACATATATGGAGTTAAATGGATCGATTTCATGTAATATCGTGAAAGTTGACTCAGACAAAATAGATATGGATAAAGCCAATAGTACCATACTCTTATATTCATCACAATAAAGGTGTATTAACACAAGCTAAACTATCAACTTCAGTTCTTGGTGCACTCGAAAAGTTTTATTTATTTTGATCCAAGAACTTCAGTATTACTTTCTAATTATGAATATAGATTGGGTTTTTCATGATTTTTTAAAATGTTATCTATGGTGTTTAGAATCTTTTTTTATATGATGAATTTAGTTTAGGTAGATAGGTATCTAGATCAACATCATAAGCTGAGGTATTTTGTACATAACATGCCATTGTTTCTTTTGACAATTATTGACTGAAATCAAAGCAAAGTAGTGTAATCCACAAAATATATACACCACACTATGCCATTGGTCTATCAAGTTGATAAGTATTGACTTGAATAGTGCTAGTTATTTGGTAGTTGACTTTATAAAAAAAGATGATGAAATACTAAAGAACAGAGCTGGTGTATATAAAGTCGACATTAATATTATTTCGATCGCTTAATATCTTATTCAGGCTCTGGATTTTATCATTGCTCGTATATGGTTATATCACAATAAATAATATGAAATTACGGAGCACTGCTGGTGAGATTATGACTTTCATTACGTCTACTCACTACACTGGCCGTTAGAAATCGTAGAAAATATAGATTGGTTCATTCGGTGTACAAAATCCTTAGATTCGTTGATGTTACTGAGTTATTCATAGAGTAATGCGTTTGTAAATATTCACATTTTATACTTTTCATATTTTCACTATACAACTTAATAGACCCAAATAGCTTTGTTCATATTTTTTGCTACTATTTATTTTATTGTCCTATTATATGATGACTTATTCAATCCAACACCTAATTGTTCTGTTAACAGTCTCTTTACATACTAAAGATGTGTGTTATTCGTAATCTTTTTCTCATACAATACAGTGCACTGATGTTATAATAAACTTATTTTTCCCTGTTCAATTGTTATATATTTTGCTTCGAGCAATTTCACTATTTTAAGGAAATGAAGTCTTTCCTCATTTAGAAGTTATTCATTATGACCTTGACTACTTTATTTCTTTTAGGTATTACTGTTATTTTACAAAATGAAAAATTTATTAACTACGCGATTGACTATTCTTCCAATTTCCTTAACAGCCAGACATGGTGTTTCTCTACATACACAGTCAAATGCATTATATACTACTAGATCTCGTCGTTTATTTAGTCGTTTAATGAATGTACGATATGTGGAAGAACTGGAAGCTAAACTGCCAGGTCCTATATATTTATTAGTAAAATGGTGGTTTAAAATAAGACCTTTTAAAGTAGAACTAGCAGATCTTCATCGTCGTGTTCTACGTAATAAAGAAGGATTTGATGTACGTCCACTTATTTTTGTAATAAATTTCAATGTTAAGAGATGTTACATAATTATTTAAAAGTAGTATAATAATAGTTTTACTGCAAAATGCTCATTTTTATTGTGAATTTCATTATCAGAGTTTATTTTGAACAAAAGCCAATATTTAAATAGCATCTTGCAAGTGTTAATTAATCTGTTGTTACTATTCATGTATCATTGCATTTTCGTTGACTTTTATCAGTTTAAGTTTTTACCGTATTATTGATTGATATTGTGTCCGATGATGTTGATAGATAAGGTTGATACTGACAAATTTGTTGACAGTGCAGTGAACGAGAACACCAGTGTGTACAATGAAACGTAGTTGAATACAAAATTACAGAATCTTTTAGTGAAATCCAAGAACCATACAGGAAATATTTTATTTGCAAAATGTCAACCAATTGTCTCAGACTTGGCTGTTCCTTTGCTTCCACACCAATCACTCTCTGTTCTCTTTCTCTTTTATTTTATCTTCTTAACCTTCTGCTTCCATGTATTCCACTTTCGACTGGTGATACATACTACGTATATCTGTCACAACCAGTAGCGCGCACCACAATAACGACAACTTAAATACATTGGTGCTTAAGTTACTTTGATCTAGAATTTCAAAATTATCGTACTTCTCAAGTTCATATCCGTTTCAGACAATATCACGTAATCTATGTTATCATTATTTATAGTTGTTTTTTGTTGAACGATGGTGATGATGACAGTTTTGTCATTAATTCGTATTCAGTAATTTATGAATATATGTATTTTCTTTATCCTATGGAAAGTAGACGCAACCTGAATGTTATGTATACAATTTATACCCTTTTATCAATCCTATGAATATACAAGTAATATTGACACATTCTTTCAAATCATTTATAACATTAACAGAAACTTATCAATATAAAAAAATTGACACGAAAACATATAAATATTTGAAAAGACAAGTAGTAACCATTGTTCATTTTAGTTAAATAAGTCGATTAAACTTTTGCTTTCTTGGTTTGATCATCCCTAGCTTTTTGGCAACTTACTCTTACACCAGACAACATCGCCCATCGAGGTAGGCGGTGGTTGGGCATGGGTAACACATGTTTGAACCACTTCAGTTGATGAAAACTTACTACCTCATCAATCAGTTTTCCATTTTTATCTAGTACTCTATTACTGGCGTTGTTTATTTTCATCATTGACTTCCTAACACCTTAGTAATATCAATTTGCACATATTTTTTTTAAAAGTTTTGTTTCGCCTTCGTTTATTAACAGTATTATCATCATTACTTTTATCATGATTATTACCGTTATTATTTAAGTTACCATCGTTTTGAAGAAGTGAATAAAGAAACTATAGAACATTAGTACTTATTGCTTAGCGAATTAAGTGATATATTATGAAAGTGAAATCCAGGATACAATAGTTTTATGGTACTTTTCTCCATATATTCCATATTGTAGACTTTTTCTGAAATTATTAGTTATCGTAGAAGCTCGGAACACTGCCAAAAGCACCCAGCTTAGCTACAAATTTTCGTCATATTTGTGTCTATCCTGTACTAGTTAGAGTTTAAGAAAGGAAGGATTTCCAAAGTTCACTAACTGTATGAAAAAAATTTCTAATGAGGTTTGTGTGGCGCATATGTATTTGGTGCCTCTTTGTACCAATATCTATGTGTTGAAATGAATAAATAAATAAATAATAATGAAAAATACTGTTGTGGAGCTAGTGGATATATTGTTTTTATTGTACAAATTGATTTGGAAGTTATCATTTCACTTTTTTTTCAATCACAATCACTTTACTGGATATTGTAAATGGGAACACATACATATATGCATTTTATCAAAAAAGAAATAACTAACTGTATGATATGTACGATCTTTAATCCTGTAAGTTTTGTCATGACAGCTCGCGTTATTCACATTTCTGTCTTCAG